AAAGATAACTGTGTAAAAAGGAGACTATGAACACTGGCAACTCCAGGAGAATGGGGAGGCACAGGATGGACGCTTTGTTCTTTTACAAGATGCAGGATATGTATAACCTAGGACACTGAGTGGCCACCACCAGAAGTTAGTAGCCAGAACTGCTCAAAGGATCTTGGCGGTCAGTGCCACACCAAAAGGTCCATCCATAACCCTATGGCTCTGTAGCCACCACTGGTTTCCCAGGGACTGGGCCAGCAGGAAGAGGGCTGTGGTAATTGGAGGTAGTTGTTGACCCAGTCACTGAGATTCTAATTTCACATTTTGCCTCCATTGATCCCAGCCTGAAGCATGGAGAATATTTGGGTGATCTTGAATCTAGAGCTGGCTGGGGAACCCTGCACAATGATTACCTCCGGAAACCCAACAGTGAGTTCAGGTTTATTATTGTCATGATCTGTTCATCTACCCGCCGAGCAAGCTGCTCTGCTATGGTTTTGCTGTCATTCTTTCAGAGTCCGGAGTTCTGATGTTACTCTGACTCTGCCCTGAACATCATTTAGACAGATGGACGCGTCTAACGGTCTGCCCTAGCTGACCACATCTGCCCTGGGTGGCCAAGGCAACCTACCACAGCAGCAGATAGGAACAACAACAACGAAGTGGTAGGGTGTCTGGAATTTCTAAGAGGTGATAGTCTAAATTCCTGGGTCTTCTGTTAGTCCCAAGGGGTTAAGTTCTGAGAAAGAAGTATTGGAGAGGAAAAACTAAGAGTGTGGGCAGGCGGCAGCTGTTTTATGAAACCAGGGAAGAAACCGTGCTGTGCCCTTTTCTGTCTCTGTCCAAGTTAAGATTATTTGCCTTGGGCTTGATAAAAGGCTGAATAAACATAATGTAACATTGCGGGAGGCAGGTGGCTAACAGTGTGGGATGGTGATTTACAAGAGCAGTGTCGGGAGCCTTTCAACTATAAGGAAGTCTATGCAGCATTTAGATGTAAGTACAGGACTCAGGTTAAATTTCTAGGTGTTAAACAGAGGTAAGGGATGTGATGTGAACTGAGGACCAAGTTCCCTGTGCTTCAAGAAGAGATTAGGGGTCTGGGCACAATGGCTCAGGGGCTAAATCCTCACCTTGTGTGTGCTGGAATCCTGTATGGGCACCGGTTTGGATCTTAGCTGCTCCACCTCCCATCCAGCACCCTGCTTGTTACCTGGAAAAAGCAGCAGAAGATGGCCCAGGGCCTTGGGATCCTATACCCATGTGGGAGACCAGGAAGAAGTTCCTCGTTCTGAGCTTCAGATTGGCTCAGCTCCAGCTGTTGTGACCACTTGGGGAGTGAACCAGTGGATGGTAGATGGAGGATCTTTCCCTCTGTATCTCTCTCTGGATCTGCCTTTCCAATGAAAATAAATTTTTAAAATCTTAAAAAGAAGAAGAAAGAGGAAGAAAAGGAGAACAGGAAAGAGAAAAAACAGGAGATGGGGTGGGGAAGGGGTTGGCTTAGTAGTGTAGCAGGGTAATTCTCTACCTGCAGCTTCGGTATCCCATATGGATGCTAATTAGAGTCCCAACTGATCCACTTCTGATCCAGTTCCTTGCTATAGCTTGGGAAAGTAGTAGAGGATAGACCAAGAACTTATCCCCTTAATTCACACAAAAGACCTGTAAGAAACTCCTGGCTCCTGAACAGCCCAGCTCCAGCTGTTGTAGTCATTTGGGAAGTGAATCAGCAGTTGGAAGACCTCTATCTCTCCTCTCCTTCTCTGTAAAATTTGCCTTACAACAAAAATAAATAAATCTCTTTATAAAAAAGATTTATTTCATTGAAAAGTCAAAGAGAAGGGGATACAGAGAGAAAGATCTTCCATCCACTGGTTCACTCCCCAAATGGCCACAATGGGCAGAGCTAAGCTGATCTGAAGCCAGGAGCCAGGAGCTTCCTCCAAGCCTCCCACATGGATGCAGGGTCCCAAGACTTTGAGCCATCCTCTACTGCTTTCCCAGGCCACAAGCAAAGAGCTGGAAGGGAAGTGGAGCAGCTGGGACACGAACCAGCACCCATATGGGATCCCTGCACATGCCAGGTGAGGCCTTTAGCCACTAGCCTATCGTGCCAGGCTCCAAAATAAATAAATCTTTAAAAAGAAGAAAAAATGATGGACAGGAATTGTGGTATAAGGGTTAAGCTGCCACTTGAGATGCCATATCCTGTAGCTGATGCCTGAGTTCAAGCCCCATCTCCATTTTCTATTCAGCTTCCTACTAATGCACACACTGGGAGGTAGTGGATGATGCCTCCCACACACATGAGCTCCTGCTACCCATGTGGGGGACCCAGCTGGAGTTCGGAACTCTGGGCTTTGACCTGGTCTAGCCCCACCTGTTGTGGGCATTAGAGGAGTGAACCAGTGGAAAAAGGAACTCTAGCTTTCCCACCTGGGTGATGGGAGCCCAAGCCGCGGAGCCATTATCTGTTGCTCCCGAGGCAGCTAGAAATGAAAACAGAACAGCAGGGAGGGACTCAAACTGGCACTTTGATGAGTTGCAGGAGTCCCAGGTGGTGCCTTAACTCCCTGCATAATACTGCCTTCAGAGTCCCCTTTCTTTGAAAGGCAGAGCTTGAGAAAGAGGGAGACACACAGAGAAAGGTCTCCCATCTGCTCCCCAAATGGCTACAATGGCCAGGGCTGGGCCAGACCACAGGCAGGAGCCTTGGAACCCCATCCAGGTGTGCCATGTAGGTGTAGGGACTGAGTATTTGAGCCATCTGCTGCTGCTTTCCCAGTTGTATTAGTAGAGTTTGATCAGAAGTGAGCTTGAACTGGCATCACATGGGATGCCAGCGTCACAAGAGGCAGATTAACGTGCTGTACCACAAAGCCATATTTTTAAGTTTCTGAGAGTCTCCCGTACCATGCTTTGCATTGGCTGTTTCATTTTACAATACCTCCAACAGAGTACAGGATTTCAATTTCTCCACATCCTTTATGTTTTAGTTTCGTTGTTTGTCCACATCGCCTGGGCTATTAAGGTTTTTTGTGGGTCAAGCTGAATTTTGAGACTTCTTTTTTCTATTTCGGTAAAAACATACATTGGAAATTTTTATAGGGATTATGTCAAATCTAAAAGTCACTATTGATAGCATGGCTATGTTTTTTAAGATTTATTTTTATTTTTGTTGGAAGGTAGATATACAGAGAGGAAGAGGAGGAGAGAGTGGTTTGTTCCATCCAATCATTCACTCACCAAGTGGCTGCAATGGCCGGCTGAGCCAATCCAAAGCTAGGAACCAGGAGCTTCTTCCAGGTCTCCCACACGGGTGCAGGGTCCCAAGGCTTTGGGCCGTCCTCCACTGCTTTCCCAGGCCACAAGCAGGGAGCTGGATGGGGAGTGGGGCTGTTGGGATTAGGACCAGCACCCATATGGGATCCTAGCTCATATAAGGCAAGGACTTTACCTGTTAGACTATTGCACCAGGTTTTATTATTCTTTGAAATACACCAACTTTACACTTAATTCTCTCTATTGTGTATTTGTTTCCTATTTCATTATAGTTGCTCTTTAAAAATATTTTTTTATTGGAAATGCAGATGTACTGACAGAGAGGGAGAGACAAAGGTCTCCCGTCTGCTGGTTCACTCCTCAAGTGGCCACAACGGCCAGGGTTGAATCGATTTGAAGCCAGGAGCCTGGAGCTTCTTCTGGGTCTCCCACACGTGTACAGGGTCCTAAGACTTTGGACCATCCTCTGTTGTTCTCCCAGGTCATAAGCAAGGAGCTGGATGGTAAATGGAGCAGTTGGGACACGATCCGGCACCCATATGGGATCCCCATGGATGCAAGGCAAGGATTTAGCCACTAGGCCACCTCGTTGGTCCCCTACACTGCTTTCTTTGGCTCCTTATATTGTGATGTGGCTTCTCACTTGCATTTATTCTCCTGGCATTGTGACATCACCTACCAGAACTGAGCTGAGGTGGGTGCCATGCTCATGAACCTCCAGAGCTGTGAGTTACACATAAGTCTCTTATCTTTGATCTTTCTCATAGTCACAAAAAACAGTCTAATGTAGCCACAACGGAGCTTTTCTGAACCCAGATCCGGCTTCCTGGCACACGTTCTGCCTCTTGTGCCCATAGTGGTCAGATTTTACCAATCTGACACACCTGTGTACTGCTTTGTCCTCTCCTTGTGCAAAAGTGTTTCTCTAGTCCAACCCTTCCTCTTTCATTAATTTTTAGTTTCAGTTGACTTTCAAATACAGCCATAACACACCCCTGGCTCCCAATGACTGACAGGTTTCTCCCAGGCCTAGAGTTTGGTTTTTATATTTACAATGCTATGCTGGAAAATACAGCTGAGTGAGTATTCTAACTTCCAGGAATCCAGGAATGTTATCTTGGTAACACTTCCTTTTTGGTATTCCCCTTATGAAAGCACAGTTCAGTCCTTTAACTCATAAAGCAGTGAAAGACGTGTGCTGAGAAGGAAAAGAAAGACAACAGCCCAGTAGAGCCACCACAGGCAGAGGCTGAAGCCAGCTATTGAAGGGCTGGCAAGCTGGAGAGAGTTCCAGAAGCTTTCCTGAACCTTACTGTCCCGGGGCCACAGCTAGCGACATGGTGTCCTGGATGGCTCCGTGACTCACTTCTCTATCCTCTGCCATTCAAGCTCCTGCTGCTTGGAGTGGGCTGGACAAACAGAAGTGCTCAGCGGCTAGTCTTGGGCTAAGCTCTGTGTCTTGTTGCCAAAGAATCTGTTTCTCTGTTATTAAAACAAAACAAACAACAACAAAAGGCCAGAGCTCATGTCAGGGAAACCCTCAGGAAGACCCTGATCTGAGGAGCTCAGGTAGGAGTTAGGTGTCCTTTTGCCAATCAAAGCTGAGTATTGCTTTAAATAATCTGCTCGTACGATTGGAAATGGCAGAAACTGCCACTGCTGATCCACAGCTCTTGGGTGGATCTTTTCCTTAAAAATTTTCTACCTAGGGCCTGACCACATGCCAGATGTCCAACAAACGAGCCCAGGCTTCCACGGACCTTCCCGTCAGAGGCTCCAACTTGCACAAGATGATGGTGGTGGGCTCAGTTGTTGCAATTTTGGTGAGTATTCCTCCTCCTACTTACCCACCTATATTGCTCATACCAGTTACTTTCTTATTTCTTTTTCCCACTGTATTTATTTGAAAGAGTTACAGAGAGAGATATCTTCTACAGTTCACCACTACTACCACCACCCACAAATGGCTGCAAGAGCCAGCACTGGGCCAGGCTGAAACCAGGAGCCAAGAACTCCATCTGAGTCTGCTGTGTGGGTGACAGAGGCCCAAGAAGTTGGACCATCCTCCGCTGCTTTCCCAGGCACATTGTCAGGGAGCTGGATGGGCAGTGGGGCAGCTGGGACTCAAATCGGTGCCCATATGGGATGCCCGCATCATAGGCAGCAGCTCTATCTGCTATGCCAGAATGCTAGCCCCAAACCAGGTGTTCTAATATGGGATGTGGGCATCCGAAGCAGTGACTTAACTGCTATGCCATAGTGCCCACACCCAAATTTCATAATTTGCATGAAGTCTTGATTTGTGTGGTACTTCCTGTGCCGTTGGGTGTGACAACTAGGAAGTCGCTGCCTGGTCCTCTGATGGGAGGCTTTTGCTGTAAGAATTGGATAGAAAAGTATGTCGTGCGTCCTCGACTTTTCATCTTGGTGTGTTCTGCTCTCTCCGTCAAGATTTCTACTCCTGCGTCATTTGCCCTTGTCCTTCATGGCTCAGCTCAGGCGTCTCATCTCATGTTCCCTGCTGCCTGACCCCCAAGTCCAACCCCAGCGAGGGGTTCCTCTCCTATCCTGGTTACTGGCCACACTTCCCATGCCCTCAGCTAAGAACTAAGGTTTAAGGGTCTCCCTTTTTCCTTGAAGTACCAGATTCTACTGTGGGGCCGTATGACTGGATCCGTGTCTGTCCCTAGAAGGAATGGCTGCATGTTTGTGGATGTTATGCTTATGTGCCTTCTGAAGTCTGGATTTTTCTAGCAAGCTACAGAGAGCAGGAGACACAGCCCCATGCCTTTGTCAGCTCTCCCTTTTAACAGAGAGTTGACAAGGCTTTTCCTTTTTTTTTTTTTCTGCCCTTCCGGGCGCTATCTGTCTTTGTAGGGAATTTTCAAGACACCTGCATGGCCAATTTTCTTTCTTTTTTTCTTTTGATGATCTTTACATAATTAATTAGGGCTCAGGGTCAAGGGCTACAGGAAAATGGGTGAAACAATTCCACACTTTGTTTTTTCCTTCCTGTATCTGGGGGAACAGGAGAGAGAGACAAAGGCAGAAGCCACACCCACCCTCCCAACCATCTCACGGTCCCCAGTGTGAGGCATGCTCCAAGGACACTGCTCAAGTGGTTTTGATAGTTCAGTTGTTCTGAATTGCTGCCAATCTCGCCATTCCAGGCATGATGAAATCTCTTCAGAATCCACTGGCTGACATAGTCCACCTTAGCGTTTCCACTTGCCCAGATTTTCACTGCCAACACTCAGCTGATCAATTTGTTCTGTCCTCTGTTCTGGTACCAGGTGTCCTATGCAAGCTCCAACGTACTACCATATCCTCCCTGTGTACCTGGATATACTGCTCCATCTCTGCCACTGAGGAGGCTCAGCTTTGACTCCTGGACTCCATGGTCAGACCATGAAACCTGCCATTCTCTTCCTGGTTAGGGTTCTGAGTTGAGCAGTTTGATTGGGATGATCCCCAAAGAAACTTCATCTGAAGTGATCCCAGACCAGATTTTTGTGTGTGCTTGCCAGTAAAGGGTCTGGCACAGACCGTCATCCCAATTAGCTTATGCACATGCTGGTGGTTGCAAATGCTGGGTCAGTTCTGCCTCCAGTCTTGTCTTCTATACAAAACTATGGGTGTTGGAGCCAAGCCTGATTCTACACATCACACACTTGACCTTCACATATACCAGTGGGAGCTGCAGCCTAGTCAGAGTGACCTGTACTAACCCCTGCCACACCCACCCTCTGCCCTGGTTCCTGTGCTTGCCAGTATGTGCAACAGACTGGTCCAGTCTGTCCCACATCCCATTCAGCTCTCATACATGTCAAGGGGCCTTGAAACCTAGTTCAACCCAACCAGCCCACACACCTGCCCGCAGGTACCACTCTCTGTCTATCCATGCCTGCCCAAGTCCTGGTTCTCATGCTCACCAGACAGAGTGGCAACCCAAAGGGAGGTGCCCACTGTACTGGGCCCACTTGCAGATTATGTACTTTCCAGGTGGTTCTGCAATTTGGCTTGACCGAATTAGCCCCCATGCCAGCATCTGCCAGCTGATGCTGTGGCATAGCCCAACCAACCCAGCCCCACTGTGACTTATGCTTGCACCAATAGGAACAGTCAACCCAGCTTGGCTTTTCCCTGGTCTAGCTCACATGAGGCCTACAGGTGTTACAGCTCTGCCCGTTCTGGTCTGTCATGGCCAATTTTGATTGGCTCTTCCCATGGGAAAGACTCTGGCTCCATTTTCTATGTGTGAACAGACTCCATATTCTGCAGGGTTGGGTAGTTCAAAATTGGGAAGAGCAATTGTTGGGATTTGGAGGTTCAGGGCAGAGCTGAAGACTGGAGGTTGCAGGGATGCCTAGTCTAGTCCGCCCTCTGGTGGCGGCAGGAGGATATGCAGGTTGGAAGAACAGGAGACAGGGGGTTTAGCAAAATCTACAGACCTGAGAAGGCACTGAAGAGTGTTGGTGGTTGCTTTAGGTCTGATACAGCATGAGGCATGTGGGACACGAAAATGCAGGGTCATGACCCACTGACCTGTGGTTCCTTTCTCTACCCACAGATCTTGTACTTCAGGGTTTCCTGGCCCAAGAGAAGTCTCCCTCAGTTCCCAGCACCCCGTCCTGCGAACAAGTCCAAAAAACCCCTCTCACAGGGACTGGCAAATCTGACCCAACTTCTGTATTGGCCTCCAACCCCAGGAGATGGGGGAGACCTTCTGGCTTCCACAAGCCCCAAGACCTCCACCTACCACCTCAGAAGTCCAGCCCAGGCTAGCTATGTCCTTGGAACCTACCTGAAGGCCATCCTCATAGCCAGGGACCACCGGGGCAGGCCCAAGACCCATGGTGGAGACCTGTTTCGGGCACAGCTGTTGGGTTCCATCTTAAACACGGGGATTCCTGGGGATGTGCATGACTTTGAGAACGGCACCTATCTGCTGTCCTTCCCCCTGTTCTGGGAGGGGCAGGCATTGGTACGCGTGAGGTTGATTCACTCCAGTGAGGCAGTTGGGGTCTTGCGGAGAATCTGGAGAGACTACTGGGCCACAGTTGATTTCAAGGGATATTTCCGGGGGCCTAAGGGTAACGAAGAAAATGTGACCTGCAACGTGAATCCCGAGTCGGTTGGGGAGGAAACACCTGTCTGTAGCTACAAAGATGAAATCTCGGGTGAGCTCTGGTTCTGTGCTCAGCCTCCTACCCTGCCCTGCAACTCACTGGTAGGACACTCATCTGGCAATTACTGGAAGGTGACCACGCTGCATGAAGATGCTCTGATGGCGCGGTAAGCAGCCCAGTGTCACCTGGGGAGCCTCCCCCAGCTCCTGGATCCTGGCCTCAATGTTTGTCTTGCTGGAACTCCTACCCTTTCCATTCATCTGCTGGCACTTTTCCTGGGCTCTGACTCTGCTGGGTTTCACACTGCTGAGGGTTGAGTCCTTACAGATAAGGGTGGAGCAACTCTGCCCAGTGATGGAGGGGTGGGGGAACCTCATGGCTTTTCTCAACATATGGGGTGATGAGAGCTTCGCTGAAGTACAGAGAAGGATGGGCAAGACAGGGGACAGTTTAGCTGAGGCTTGAAGGAGAATCAAGGATCTGTAGGAGAAAGTATCCCAGTCCTCTCTGGCTTTCTGAGGGCCAGTGCAAGGAAAAATTTGCAAGCTGACAACACACAGGTGGTCAGAGAATAGAGAGGGTGGTGGTGACCCAGGTGAGCAAGATGGGAGAGATGCCCAGGAAATGAACCCTGGAAGGCGTCTGGTCTCGGGGAAGCCAGCCTTCCAAGTGCACAGAGGTGTGGACAGAGACCGGCTCACACCAAGCTCTGGGGCAGCAGGAGATTGCTGAAGGTTGAGGCAGGGCAGGGGCGGTGGAGCTGAGCTCAGGGATGAGTGGGGCATCTTTTTTTCAGGTGGGAGAGCAGGGCAGCTGGTGTTCAGGAGGGAAGGCTTCTCAGCACGGAGGAGACAGCAAAAATAGGTTACCAGAAGATGTTCGGGTTTGGGGCAAAGAGGAAAGATAGAGAAGGGACACCCCTTTTGGAGAGGCAGTGCACTCAGGAGAGAGAGTAGGCAGTGAAAGTGGCTGCTGCGGGGAGTAGAGGAGGCTGGCCAGGCTGATGCACTGAGCAGAGCCTAGCTGTAGACACACACATGGTGTCCCCATACAAACAGCCGTGGGACATTCATTCCCCAGGGGTTCTGTGCAGTTATCTAGAACATACCCAACAGCATTCACTCCTTAGCACTTAGGAAACAGCTGGCCTTTCTAGTCCAATGTGTATGCTCTCCTTGGTCAGAAGAGGAAAGCCAGGGACGCGAGTTGAGGGTCTCAGAGTGGGTTAGTCTGGAGTATGGATTCCTGCTCTCACACCCAAGTACCTGGCCTTCACCCTGGCCACTCTGCTTCTGAGTTGGCTTCCTTTATCGCACCCTGGGAAGCAGCTGATGATGGCTCAGGTAAGTGCTTGGGTCTCTGCCACCTGTGTGGGAGACCCAGATAGGTTTCCAAGATCCTGGCTCATCCAGCCCTAGTAATTGTAGTCATTTCAGGAGGGAACAGATAAGCAGAGAAAAAGCTCTCCCTGGCATTCTTTCAAGTAGATGATAATAAACAAACATCTACGAAAGTGAAAAGAGAGAAAACTAAACATCCTTTCTGCTTTGGTCAGAAAGAAAGCACATCTGCGAGTCATCCTGGGAACCGCTTGGGGAGATGCAGCTGAGGGAAACGAGATGAGAGAGACTTGGTCTGGGCTGAGACCCTGCTCCACCAGGTCCTATTTATTAACTTTGTTTCTAAATGTGAATAACAAGAGTATCTTCATCACAGAACTGGTGTAAGGAACACACAGGCTAATGCACCCCACAGCACTTAGAAGAAGGGCAGTATGGAGCAGCTGTGCTGGCTGCTGTTGGACACGCCCCCTTCCTGCACTGGTGCTATCCACGGTGCTGGACACAGGCCCAGCAGCTAGGAGACAGAGAGGGCCTAGGTGGCCCGACCGCACCTCGACTATCAGGAACTCTTCTTATAGGCCACCACGCAGGGTCCAGTGATCTAACCTGTGTGTGGTTCTGGGCCCCAGTGAGAGGACAGGCCCCTCCAGCTGGATCTGCTGTCCATCATGTCTAAAGGTTCCAGGCCCTGACACTCAGTGCAGGTCATGTTTGGGCATCTTGGCAGTTTGCAGGACTGCCCTCTTACAACCTCCCCTGCTTGAGTAAATTTCTCATTCACCCAGAACATTACCTGTGCAGTTGTTCTGTCCTTTTTGAGGGATTCAAACTGAGCACTTCTTCTGCACAGAGTCCTGCCCTGGGCCCTGGGAACAGAGCAGTAAACAAATAGGTGAAAATCCAAAAGAAAGGAACAGAAACATAACCATAAATTCTTAAGGTATTTCATTATATTTATTTTTTGATTTTACTTTTAGTATTGTTCAAATAGTTATGAGGGATGTATGCCCATGTGGTCCCTCTGATTAGGGTGGGAAGGGTCAAGTAAGTAGGTGGGACAAATGTTTAGTCTTTTTTTTTTTCCTGTGTCCACAAGGCAGGAAAGGGAGAGGGTTGCTCCTGGCTGTCAAACTACATCAGCACTTTGGGATAGGGAACAGGCCTTTCATGATGCCCTAGAGACCCTGTCGTGGGGAACAGTGTACCCACGGTGTTATTGCTTGAGTGGTTGTGATAGCTCTGAAACATCAGTTTCATTGTTCCAGGGTTGATAAAATCTTTCCAAGGTCTACTGGTTGCCAGCGTCCACCTTAGTGCATCCACAGACCCAGTAACACGTGACAAAACTTGGCCAGGAGGATTGTCTGACCTGTTCTGCTTTTTATCCTCTGATAAGGCAGTTGATTCTCCTACTGGCCTAGATGAGCTGGCCATCATGTCCCCACTGTGCATATGGACATGCTGTTCACTGCACAAATATCAGCAACTGAGGAGGCCCAGTCCTGACACATGAACACCAAGGTCAGATCACACATCCTATGATTCTTCCTATGGCCAGGGTCTGAGTCCAGCAGTCCAGTCAGGGAGTCCCCCAAGAAACCATGCCTGGGGTGACCTCAGAATTGACTCTTATATGAACCAACCAGTGCAGGGCGGTGGCCAGTCACCTGTACCAGCCATTGCAAATACCAGTGGATGTAGCCCAGACAGCCTGCCACAGACCTGGTCCTCATACATACCAGTAGGTGCCATGGTCTAGTCAGGGCAGCCCCCCCAAAACCCTCCCAAGCCTGCCCCTAGTCCCAGTTTTTGCATGTGCAAGCTTCTGCTGTGGCCTAACCCGGCCCAGCCAACATTCCACCCAGCTCTCATGCACAACCATAGGTGCTGCAGCATAGCTCAGCCTCACCCGCCCTCAGACCAGGCCCAACAGGTGTCACCATCTTGTCCAGCCTAGCATGCCCCAGCCCCTGGTTCCTGTGTTCACCAGTGGGAGATAACAGCCTAACAGGAGAGTGCCCATGTTTCCCCTGCCAGGAATGTTCCCAGCCCCACATTTTGCATCTGTCAGGGGATACTGTAGTCCAGCCTGACATGATTTACACCCAGTCTTAGTACTGCCAGCTGGTGTTACAGCCTAGCTCAGCTGGCCCGCAGTCATTCTGGTGCCCATGCATACCAACAGGTGCAGCAGCATAGACCAGCCTGTTCTACCCCCAGACTGGCTCATTCCTAATCCCAGCTCTCTCACTCACCAGTGGAAGCAGCAGCCCAGCAAGGAAGTTCCCAAAGTTCCCCTACCAGGCCTGCTCCCAGCCCTGGGTCTAGCATGTGCTGCCAGCAGGTGCTGTGGCCCAATCTGAAATGGCCCATCTCAGTCTTGGCATTCACCAGCAGGTGCTATAGCCTGGCTTAGCCTGGCCTACTCCCAGTCCCAACTCTTGCCAGTGGGTGCAACAGCTTAGCCCAGCCCATCCCTGTCCCTCATATGAACTGGTATGTATTTTGATACAACTTAGCCTGGCCTGCACTCTGCCCTGGCTCTCATTCATGCCAGTGTGTGCTGTAAATTGATCCTTCCCAGCCCTCTCCTAGACCCAGCTCATACATGTGCCAACAGATGTTGCAACCCAACCTGGTCTAGCCTGCTCCCAACCCTGACCATAACCACAATTAAATGATAAAGGATATTAGAAGATAACGCACAGCAGGAGAAATTTGCAAACACAAAGGAGGGGACAGAGTAGGCATCCCTGCGTGTGTTTCAAATAAAAAATGAATAAACATTTAAAATTTCAACCTGAGTTTTGTAGGGAACACCCAAGACCACAGCACAAGGGACCTGGACCCCTGCCTGCTCCCACAAAGTCTCCCAGGAGCTTAATGCCAAAACAAGAGTCCTTGCCTTGGACACTTGCTCTTCTTCCTCCACGAATTCCCCATCCTCTCTCCCCCTTTCTGCCTGAGCCCAGGATGCTTCCCCCTCATGCACGTCCATTAAGGATGCTCCTCTTGTCCACTGGTTTCTTCTCAGGAATGTGACAGACAAGGTCCTTCCGCAGGGCATTCGTCCAATCTGGGTGGCCAAGGAGGGCAACAGGAGTCTGGGTAAGTGGCATGGGGCTTGCAGGAACGCCCATGCCTGGACTGTGCCCTAGCTCTTGCTTGTTCTGTTCTCACTGCTGGTTTTTATTTATAGTCCTATCCCCCCAAAAACTGTGCCAGCCTGGGATCCTGGTCCCAAAGCCCTCTGGCTTCTACTACCAAAACATATGGCACTCACTGGCCTGCTCAGGCCGCTCCTTCCCCACCGAGGACAGCATCCTGGGCTGCCTGACCGGCCGCATTGTCCACATGATGGGGGACTCCACGCTTCGGCAGTGGTGGGAGTATCTGCGTGACACCGTGTCCTGTGAGTATCCGTGAGGGAAGGGGGCAGGGCACCTAATACCAGGAGAAACGGGCCCATGAGGAATCAGATAACCACATCCATGGGACAGAAGTCCTGTGTTCTGGGTTGGGGGGACAGATGCCTAGAAGAAGCATTAAGGGACTCTTATGGGACAGCAGATGCATAAGTAACCATGGGTAAAGCAGGATTTCCTGGTGGCCTGGTGGGTTCTAGAGAAATACAATCAACACTTTAAAATTGCAGCAGAAAAAAAAAAATTAAAAGTCGTAGAAAGAGGACCCAGCACAATGGCTTAATGGTTAAATCCTTCCCTTGCAAGTGCTGGGATCCCATGTGGATGCAGGCTCATGTCCCAGCTGCTCCAGTTCCCATCTTGCTCCCTGCTTACGACCTGGGAAATCCCATAGCCTTGCTATCCTGAACCTGCGTGGGACACCTGGAGGAGGCACCTGGCTCCTGGCTTTGGATCGGCTCAGCTTCAGCTGCAATGACCATTCGGGGAGTGAACCAGTGGATGAAGGGTCTTTCTCTCCGTCTTTCCTTTTCTCTACAAATCTGACCTGCCTTTCCAATAAAAATACATAGACTTAAAAAAAAAAAAAAAGAAAGGAAAAAGTTGTAAAGAGAGGCTGGTGTGGTGGTTAAGCCGCTGTCTGCATTGCTGGCATCCTATATGAGCACCAGTTGAAGTTCTGGCTGCCCCACTCCTGACAAACTAGTGGAAGATGGGCCGAGTACTTGGGGCTCTGCATCCACGTGAGAGACCTGGATGGAGTTCTAGGCCCCAGGCTTCAGCCTGGCCCACCAGTGGCCACTGCAACCATGTGGGGAGTGAATCAGTAGATGGAAGATCTCTCTTCTCTATGTAACTCTGCCTTTCAAATAAATAAGTCTTTTTAATAATAATAATAATAATAATAATAATAATAAAAGGTGGAGAAACCAATTTGGGGAGGTTTCTCTTGTGACATGAGGGAGACTTGAATTTTATTGTCAATGTGCTATGCTTTTTAGAAGTGTTTAAAATTTATTTTCATATTACATAAAAGGGAGAGGGAGATACAGAGAAAGAAAGACAGTGAGAGAGAGCATGCCCATCCATTGGTTCACTCCTCAAATGCCTACGACATGTGAAGCCAGGAACTAGGAACTCCATGTGAGCCTCCCACGTAGGTGAAAGGGATGCATGTATTTCAACGATCACCTGCTGCCTCCCAGGAAGCTAGATCGGAAGCAGAGGAGCTGGGAATCAAATCGGTCACTGTGACATGGAAGGTGAGCATTCCAAGCGGTGAACTTCATGTAGAACAGACACCAGCCATAGACCTGAATGTTCTAGAGCAGAGTTTCACAATAGGGGAATCAACCTGTGAGGTGGAGAAAGACACATTGGGGAGGTTGGGGTGGCAGGGGGAGTCACACAGAAATGTGCAGCGGGAATCGACAATCCTGGCTGGCTTATTCTAGAAGCAATGGAGGAAATGGGATAACTCCATGCAACCATGAGATGAACTTTAAAGGGAGGTCATAGGCGGTGGGGGTGGGGGGTGGGGAAGGGAATGTGGGAGGGGTCAGGGAACAGGAGAGCATTCTGGTAGGAGCCCTTCAGACTGCGCTAAGGGGGAATGCCATGGATGAGGAAGTACTTGAAGACCTGGTGCTGGGCCTGAAAACGAGATCCCTCAGAGTTTCAGTATTGATTCCCTTGGAAACCAAAGTTAACACAGGTTAAGAGTGTTACACCAACATGCCTAGCTGTTGTCTTTGTTGTTCCTGCATCAGGGGCTGGAACAAATTCCATGACCTAAGGAAGTGTGGTCTTAAGGACATGCTTTAATAGGGAAGGAAGTAACACCAAGAGCCAAGGATGAAAAAGAGTGAGCATGAATATTCAACACTCTCCTCTAATGCTGCTCCCCCCACTTCAGAGAGGCAGGCCCATGGGAGCAGTGGCAGTTATGGGTCTAATGGAGGGGAAAACCCCCAACCACATGGCTGCTCTGCCTTCCTACCTACAAGCAGAAAATAGCCTTCTTGGCACAAATAGGTGAACAGGCTGAGGGTGTGCTTGCAAAAGTTGTCTGAAACACCTGCCCCCCCCCACCCCCAGAAACCATGTGGATGTCGTCCACCCTCCTGCTCAAAGGATGGAAGCCTCCAGCCTCGCAGGAGGATTAGCCTGAGTGCAGCCCCTGCCTCCATGGCAGGACTGGGAAAGCTTTTTTTTTTTTTTTTTTTTTTTTGCAAAGGGTCATTTAAGTAAGTATTTATTGCATCATTTAAGGACTATACAGAATCTACTTAAAACTGGCCTGCTATACATTCAGTAATTTTTCAAGTCCTGCCTGCGGTTGCCTCAATAGGGCTAGACTAAATAACCTAGCAGTTCTTACACTGTCCATGGGCTGGCCATTCTCTCCAATGCCCACTCTATGAGAAAAGGTCTTTTCATGCAAGTGCACCCAGTGGCCATTGGGCACTCTATTGAAAAAAAAAAAGAAAGAAAGAAAGAAAAAAAAACTGGATCTCAGGTAACAGTGGCCTCCTAGAATGGCTACTGTGGTGCAAGGACATAAACTGGACAACCCAAGTTTCTAGCTTGGGGTCTTTATGTAGAGGTGGCTGAAGGAAGCCAAAAAATTAATCCACATTGCTGATCTCAGGGAGCAGATGGTTGGTCAAGGGTGACAATCCAGCGCTAGGGAAGGGGAGGGTTTCCCAAGGGAAAGCAATGTGACAAATGTTCTAGGAGCCGGGCAGGTGAAGAATGAGGTCACTGCAAGAGTGCAAGTTAGGGAGGGCAGAACTTGGAGCCCAGACACCTGTGTGCCAAGAGGAGAGGGATGCTAGATTCTTTGTATTATCAAACAAGCAAAATACAGCTTTACATTGACCCTTACTCCCTCTCGCTCCTATCCTCCCAACAGCCCTCAAGCCCGTGGATCTGCATGCCACCTATCAGGTAGGGCCCCTGATGCTGGTGGACACCAGCAAGGGCATCGTGCTGCATTGGCGGGCTCACAGCTGGCCCCTACGCTCCAAACGCACACCTGTGGCCTCCCTGCACTCCGTGGCCCAAGAGCTGAGGGGCCTGGCTGGCGGTCCCCACACCGTGGTCGTGCTGGGTCTGGGGGCTCACTTCACCACCTTCCCTCCAACCATCTTCGTGCAACGCCTGGCTGGGATCCGGGAAGCCGTGACAGCCCTCCTCGCCCGGGAGCCCCACACCCTTGTGGTCATCAAACTGGCCAACACTGGCTACAAGTCCGTGTATGGCAGTGACTGGCTCACCCTCCAGGTGAACCGGCTCCTGCGTGCTGCCTTTGCTGGCCTCCGTGTGGCCTTCGTGGATGCTTGGGAAATGACCTCTAGCCTGGCGCTGCCAGACAGCATCCATCCAGGGAAGCTCATCGTGCGCAATGAGGTGGATCTTCTCCTCTCTTTCATCTGCCCCAGCTGATGCTCCTGGGGGGACACGGGCTGTGCTGAACAGAGAAAGGCATGTGTCACATACAATCTCCTTCCTACTTCTATCTGTTCTCCGCTCTGTTAGACTAGGCAGTTCTGGATGCTAGCCTAAGGCAGGGTGAGAGTAAGTCCAGGATGGTTGCTACGTTGGACACCGGCCCACTGCCCAGGTCCAACACCCCATCTAAAAAAGTCTGGAATCCCCTGCAGGGATCAGCCTAGCTTTATCAGGAATGCCCAGAATACCCTACAGGAACCAACCAGATTTTGTCTCAGTCCACCATGATAGGAACCCATGCTACACATCATAAAATTGGACACACCTGAGAGCTGCTGTCTTCTCCCATCCCCCACACCTAAAAGCCTAATGCTGTACACCCTAGGCGGCCATTTTCCTCAGGTGGCCACCCTGCCATGTGGAAGTGGTCCTGGGCCATCTCCCATGAGGGGGTGGTCTGTCAGACTCTATCCCCTAATAAAACCTTTTGCCTGGACTAAGGGCTAAAAGCCTCTTTCTGTCTCTCAAGTGAGTTGGAGTACCTCCAAAACTAGCACACTCAAAACAAGAGCACTTGTTTAAAAAAGTAAAAACAATTATTTCTTTTACTCGAAATTCAGGGTGTTGGTCAGATTGAGCAGGGTAGCTCTACCTGTCCACACCCAGGCAGGGTCTGGCCAGCCTTAGCTCACTATTAAATGCAGGAGCCAGGGTGGAATATGGGGCATTGTGGGCTAGGCCATCACATCTGCTTGTTTGCATGAGTCAGGGATGGGAGTGGACTGGGCAAGGCCAAGCTATAGCACTCACCAGTGAGAAATGGGATGGCATTGCGGGTTGGCCGGGTCAGGCCAGGCTGCAGCATCCAATGGCAAAGATCAAGACAGGGGATGGGGGCTCGGCGAAGCGTCCTCGCCTTGAACATGCTGGGATCCCATATGGGTACTGGTTCTAATTCTGGTAGCCCTATTTCCCATCCAGCTCCCTGCTTGTGGCCTGGGAAAGCAGACAAGGATGGCCCAAAGCCTTGGAATCCTGCACCCTCATGGGAGACCTAGAAGAGGCTCCTGGCTCCTGGCTTTGGATCAGCTCAGCTCTAGCCATTGTGGTCACTTTGGGGGTGAATCATCAGACAGAAGACCTCCCTCTATGCATATCTGACTTTGCAATAAAAATAAATCTTAAAAAAATAAAAGACAGGGGATGGGTTTTGCAGAGCTGGGTTGGAACAAACACTGGTATACACAAGATCTGGGTCTGGGAAAAGGCATGGTTGGGGAGCTAGAAGGATGCCCCTGTTGGGGGCACTGACAATTTCCTGCTCTGTGATTGGCCCTTTGCCCTGATTGGTGTGCCTTGGTTATCTTTAAGCTGATTGGACAGGTTTGACAGTTAAGCGGGGGGCTTGGCAGAGGAGGGGCGTCAGCGTAACGGACATATCGGTTTTTAGCTGAAGATCGGAATAAAGCGCCTTGGAGACTCTCTCAAGTGTCGGGTGATTTCTTCCGCGGGATGGAAGGACCCCCAATATGCCCCAGCTAGGTTGTGGTTCCCACTGTGAGCACAAGAGCCAGAATAGGGGTGGTGGTCTGGCTGGAAGTAGCTGCAGTGTCCCTCGGCATGGGCATGGTCAAGGTCTGGGGAGTGCCAGACTGGTCTAGATTCCAGCATCCACTGGTGCTCATGAGAGCCAGTGAATTTAGGAGAGGCTGGTCTAGGTTTCCATTCCCATTGGGCCACATGAGAGCTACGTCAGGGCACGGACTAGGTGTGGCTAGGCTGTGACAACCAACAGTAAGAATTGGGTTGGGTTGGGCCTATGTGTGGCTCAGGTATGGGGTGGGCCAGGCTAGACCAGTTCATAACACCCACTGGCAGATCTGAGAACCAGGATGGCGTGCAGCATAGGTTGGGGTCTGGCCACATCACCAGCCAGTTCACATCAGGGGCAGGACTTGTGGCTGATTGCTCTGGGTTGGGTAGCAGTTACAACCAACGCGAACTGGAACAGGAGCAGATTGGGCAGGGCCAGGTTACAGCACCCACAGCAAATGCTGAGATTAGATGGGGCATGCCAGACTGGGCCACAGTACACACCAGCATACACGAGACTGGGGCAGCGGGGTGAACCTCGTAAGGGAGTAGTGGGGATTCCATTGCTGGACCACTACTCATGCTGGCAAGTGTGAGAGCTGGAATTGGGCAGACTAGGCTGGGTAGGGCCATAACACCTGTTGGACTACATGTGAATTGTTAGAGGGAGAGCCAGGCTAAGGTATCCAATTGAACCCACTGGTACAGGTATGAGCCAGAATTAGGCCAGGTGAGTTTGGCTTTGCTGCAGTATCAGGTGCTGGGACTGGGGGCAAGTCCTGTCAAACTAAACTGCAGAACCAACTAGAGAGTGCAAGATCCAGGGTAGGGCGTGGGTCCAATGAGGAGTCTGTGGGTTTCTCTCTGATGGGCTGCAGTTCACACTGGTGAGCATGAGAACTAGGACAGGAGGCAGGCCTGGCTTAACAGGTGGTAGCACCCGCTGGCATGAGTGTAGGCTGGAAAGTAGAGTTGGTTGGGCTGAATTGGGATCTCAATGAGCTGTTGGAGGACAGACTGGATCAGTCCACTGTACATGCTGGCAGGCACAGGAACCAGAGCTGGGGGCTGGCCCAGTGGTTACTGGAGGTCGCCCTGACTGAGCTGTAGCTCCCCGTTGTACGTGAGGGCCAAGTGTGTGTTGGGTAGGGCTGGGCTTGGCCATAGCACCCATTGGTTGGCTAAGGATGAAGGGTAGAACAAATTGATCAACTACCCCAGTGAAGCTTCGACAACAAATTTCCAGGCCAATGAAAACTCTGAGGTGAACTATAACAGCCAATCGACGTTGGAAAGATTTTAATATCCTTGGAGAAGTGACAGCAGCATCTCAGAACTATTGAAACCACATGAGCAGAATCCTCCAAAAATACTTCACAATGGGGAGTCTGAGATGACACTGGGTGGCAGTTCCCTATCCCCCAGGTAATGTGGCGGTTGGGAAACTGGTTCAGTTAAAATAAATAAATAAAAATAAGTAAAATCTTTAAAAAGTAAAACAAGGAAGCAATGCCATCACAGCTTGCTCAGAAGCCAGGACCTGCCATTGTCCTTAGCACTAAGTCCAAATCTCTCACGGTGGCCTGCACATAGCCTTGCCTAATTCTGCAGCCTGTTTACTGCCTGGCTTCCCAAAATTTTCGCACACCAACCAATAGGCCTTCCACCTGCTATTCCTGTACCTGGCATCCCTTCTCCTCATAGAGCTGCCTGGCTTCTCACTCAGGTTTGTGATCAAATGTCGTTGCCTTGAGGAAGTTTTTACCTAACCACCATAAGTAAAATGAACCCACACTCCCACTCCATCCTGCAAGATTAGGGTAGTAAATATAGTTTTAAGTATTTTCTACCATGACCTGATATTTGACTTGCCATTAGTACAGTTATTGTTTACTTGTCTGTCTGAACAAAATGTGGTCCACAAGGGACAGGTGTGGCCAGCCTGCCCACTGCTGGATGACAACCCCTTGGGCAGGAAGTGGCCGGAGCTCTTGCAAGTGTTATATCAACTCCCGCAGACGGAACAAACAAGTGAACTAGTCAAGCAACTCAGTCATCCCTGTGTCCCCCACCCCCATCTGCAGTCCCACAAACGTTGCTATTTTGCTATTCAGGTTTCCCCTCCGCATTAGGGCAATAATATTTCCGGTGCAGTTTATGCTTTAATTGTGGGGGACCCTCAAAAGAACATCCTGGTGTGTCACACATGCATGAGACTGAGCCCACCTTTGGTCTTAGTTCAGTTGCAGACAGTACACTGCTGATGGCAGTGGGCAGGAGGGGCGTTCAGCCTTCCCTGAAAATCCAGACTCCGCTGCCTGGGTCCTTCCCTGCATGCTGGGCACCTGCAGGGGGACTGCTGGTCAGGAGTCCTCTCTCCAGGCTCATCACTGTAGGCTCCCACCGGCTGCTCCTGGTGGCTCTCCCTCACCCCTGGTGGGCGAGGTCTCCCTCATCACCCGGAAGGGAGGTCCATGTCCAGGCACCACCAAGTCGGCCATGCCAAGGATCGTCCTTCGGCTCCGTTCCTGGGCCACGGGATCTTCGCTCAGCGCCTGCCATGAGTCCTCATCTCCATCATGCTCAAACACATCCCCGGCCATCACCACGGTACCCAGGGCCGTACCCGCCACCACTACACTCACGTCCCGCTGCCCAGCGTGGCCCGGCGTGGCCCACACCTCAAGACCTGGCCCCAACTGCAGGGGCCGTCCCTCCCCTAGCCCGTGGGGAAGGTAGAGACCCCCCGGGAGGCAGAAATCGTGCGAGACCAGCAGAGCGGCATCGGGAAACAGTCCCAGGTTTCCGATATGATCCGAGTGTCCGTGGGTCCCCACCACCAGAGTCACGTCTCTCGGGGCCACATCCTGGCCGGCCAGGGCGTCCAGCAGCGCCTCCCGAGTCCAGGGACCGCCCGTGTCCACGAGGATGGGGCCGCGAGCCGCCTCGGCTAGGGCAGTTTTCGCGCTTCTGTGCTCGGGACCGGCTTCTCGGTGACCGGAGGACGAGCCCCGGGCCTGAGGTACAATCAGGGTCACCGAGCCGTCGGCCCGCATGGCGCCGTCCACCCCCTCGGGCTCCGCGTAGCCTCGCAGCAGGACTACCACCGAGTAGGGGTCGCCGGGCACCAGCAGAGGCGGCGGCCCGCTCAGCGGCTCGGTCCGCACGAGGGTGCTCATGAGGCACAGGACGGACGGTCTCGGCAGAAACGGAACAGAGCCGTGAGGAGCCTCCCCTCAGCGTCCCCACGTGCGGAACCGCCGCCTCTGCCGTGGCCGCCCCGCCGCATGGTCCGAATGGTTTCGCCCTCGACCCCTGCCGGAGATGGTACTGCCCAACCTTCCCGTCACCGCGGACCCGCCCTCCCTCGGCGTCTTCAGTCCCGTGGTGAATTCTCACCCTTGACCCTCCAAAGTCACTCCTTTTCCTTTCCCTCAGCCCAAACCCTAACCGCTTTCTACCTTGAACACAGCTGGGTGTCGCCTCTCTCGAGCGTCGATTCACCTGAGGGGAGCGGAGCGCGGGGGAGGAGGGAGGGAAGGGCGAGAGATGTTTGTCCTCTTCGCGCTGCCGTAAGCCCAAGTATGGCGGCTGGAGAGGCGTTGCTTTTCTGCCGGGCGTGACCCGCCTCATGTCCCCCGGGGTCACTGTGGGGTCTCCCGCGGCCCCGGCGGCGCCTTCCTCGCCTCGCGGGATTCCCACGCCGCGTCGGCTTGAAATAAGGCGGCCACTAACGACCCTAAGTCCTGGGCCCTTTGGGCCCAATTGATATTAAAAAAAAAAAAAAACCTTTAATAGCGATATATAAAATTTGGCACCTCGGTACAAATAATAGGAAGATGAAGGATCTAACTTGTCAACGTGGCCTCACCCCATCCGCTGGTCTGTTTGTTGGCGTGCGGCATCCCAGATGGACGCGGGCATGGTGTGGAGTGTGTTCTGGCCTCTTCCCCAAAAAAGTGAAAACCAGCCGTCTCCCCTTCCCCACGGAGGCACGGGGACCCTCCCAAGGCCTGGGGTGACCCCTGGGTGACGGTGTGACGGGCAAAGCTGCCAGTGCCTTCACCACGTGTCACCTTACACCTGCTGGATGGCTCATCCGTGGGGCTGGGGCTTCCCCCTGCTGCTCCCAACTTTCTCCCCATGGCCATGGCCATGGTCCACTACATCACCTGGACCCCTCGCTAAGATGAGATGAGAGGGTGCAGCCACCATCTTTGGGGTGCGGTTGCACACACCCTAAAAGCTGTGGGTGAGGGAGCTCAGACATCAGGAGCTTCTTCATCGTCCTTGACCCCCAAGGCAAGCGTCAGAGGTCCTCCAGGTCATGCTCCGCGTGGCCTGTTGTCTCCTTCATCTCCTCTTCTTCCTCCTCATCCTCTTCCTCCCGCCTGTCCGCCTTCTCCGTGACCTCCTTCCCAGTCCACGTTTCCCGCAGACACTCTAGTTTGGATGAGAGAGGATGATTGAGACATCAGCTCTCGGGGGTCAGGGGACGCCACGGCCTGGGTCAGGAGAGGGGCTCAACCCTGGCACGTACCTGTCTCGGATGCTGGGAGCACGTGGCCCTCACAGAGGAAACGCTGCAGGGGCTGCTCCTGATGGTGGAAGTACCAGTCGCCTACCACGTCCTCAAACTCCTCTAGCATCGTCTCACACTGGTGGGACAGAAAGGCCACACAAGTGTCCATTCACGGGGCTGTGCAGACCCTCCACTCCCGTCTCCTCTGCTGCACCTGACTGATTGTGGACAGTAGGTGGCCAGGGGGTTAAGCTTGGCTCACTAAACATACAGTCCTCGTTCCTTCAACAAACATGTGCTAGCACCTGCTGTGCCAAATGGGTGACACTCACAAACTATGACACTCAGCTCCTTGCCTTCTAGATGGGAAACAATAACAGCAGGTGTATGAAGAATGGAAATAAGGCAGAACATGGCCCAAAATCTGGGTCACGGTAGGTGTGCAGTAAGCACTGGTGTGTACTACTATTTTCCATCATTGCTTCATGATTTGCTCCTGGGCCCACTTTAATCAGCGGCACAGGTTCTGTCCCCCTCTCAGGTTCTCATCTTCCCAGCCTGGATGGTGTGGCACTTTGTCCTACCTGCTTCTTGAGGAACGTGACCTCCACGCTGGGCTCGTCCCAAAGCTCCAAGGGGATACCCAGGTCCACCTTCACCCCCTTCTGCACTAGGCCTCTCAGCGTCGCCATGGTCTGACTCTGACCCTGAGAGATGAGGAAAGTTTAGGAGGAGCCTGGCCCATCCAGCACGCGGCCTGCTTCCTTCCCCACCTTTTCCATGTGACCAGGCACCTGGGAGAGTTCTAGGAGGGTGAGATGAGGGCACCTGAGCAGAAACAGAGGATACTGCAGAGCCAGGAGGAGGAGGGCAGGTGTCTCCCAGGGACTTTGGGGGATTCAGGTCTTTGGAAAAGCAAGATCTTGCCCCAGGGAAGGGTCTGACCTTGGCGTATCTCAGTGAGCCCTTGCGCTCAGCATGGACACTGTAATCCAGGATCCGCTCACACAGGTTCTCCAAAGCCTCTTCCAGCCTCGTCTCTCTGGGAGAAGGAGGTGAAAGAGGGGGAAACACAGCCTCACTGGGTGCTGTAGGGATTCCAGGGGCTCCTCTGGGTGGGGGTAGGGGAGTTGGGAAGGCAGAGGGGCGCCCGACAGGACTCACGAAACACTGTAAGGTACGTGTCTCTTCCTCTTGCCTGTGTCCAGCACCTGTCCCAGCTCCAGCACTTCTCGAGACCGGCCAGTACGACTCAGCTCCTCCTGGAGCTCCATGCTCAGCAGCTTGCACACTGTTGGGGAGAACAGAGATGTTCCAGTAGTCATGAAGAACAAACACATCTGTCGTTTGTGCTGCCAACCACCAGAGGTGGCAGAATATGCTGGTGTGTGGAGTCTGCAGTCGGGCCTGACTGGGTTGACCATGTGGCAGTCTCACTGTGCCAGTTTATTCATCTCCAAAGTGGAGATAATAATAGTACATCCTTCATGGGCATTTGACAAGGATGATGCACTTAGCATGGAAAGCCTGGTACACAGCAAGCACTGGATCATGGGCTGTTATGTACCAGTTAATTATCAAGCTCCTTCTGAGGGCACATCAATAATATGGAGAGCAGAAAGAGTCATGGGACACTGCCCACAGAATTGGGACCACAGAAACAGATGACAACAGTAGTGGACCTTACTCCAGGGGTTGAAAGACTAGAAGACTCAACTTCATTAGCTAACACAAACCCAAGTCACGGGTCACTCCCTGTCCGCTAGCCTCAATTTACCTAAGGGTAAACATAATGTGTTTCACCTTGTGTAGGTAGCCTACCGGGTGGGAGGGAGTGGGTTCCAAGAGAAGAAATGGCCCCTGCAGAAAGAAAATGAAACAAGAAAATGAAACACAGGTGTGAGGAACAAAGGGGCCTGAGACACACTGAGAAGCCTGTTTCCTCCCAGGCCAACCAGGGGGACAGGTAAGGAAAGTGACTCTGCAAAGAGATATCTTGAATATCAAATGCAGAAAGAAGGAGGGCAGCATTGCAGTGCAATGGGTTAAGCTGAGCATTGAGGAGCCTACACCCTCCCTGTATATCAGAGTGGTCGTTCAAGTTGCTGCTCCCCTAGCAATCCAGCTTGCAGCTAATGGGTATGGGAAGGCAGCAGATGGGGTCTCTGCGGCCACATGGGAGATCAGAATGAAGTGCACTTGGAGAATTAAACAGCAGACAGAAGATACCCCCCCCGCCATCATTTTGCTTTTCAAATAAGTAAATAGATATTTAAAAGAAAATACAGAAGGGAAAAGTCATTCTAGACAAAGGGAAAAGCTACTGGAAGACAGGACACACTTCAATGGGGGCACTTTGGGGATGAGATGGTGGTATGAAAATGAAAATTTGGGACCCTACAACAAAGATGTGTATGCTTTGCCATAAGATGTTGGCTGTAATTCAATCATAATGGGGATCTCTAGGTATATTACAAGAACTGGCATAATTAGAGAGATTGATTGACAGGTGTAGGGCAGAAGGCTGTGGGTACAGAGTGAAAGAAGGCAAGAAATTGGCAATCGTTAAGCACATTGAAACACAGTGAGGTGAGACATAGAGGGAGAAAAAATAAAGTCCCAGGAAGAAGGACAAGAAGGCAGTAAGACAGGACATCCTGACACTCAAAGACCTGGCTTGTGAATGTCCCCTTGGCCCTGGGCACCACACAGCCAGGTGAACTGCTGCTGCCCATGGAATCCATCATCCAGGACACACCCTAGGATGGGACCCCTCCCACGTGAGTGGCCTCCTCTTCATGAGCATCAGCAGCCGACTTACTCACCTTAAACACCCCCAGTGGCCCTATAATTTTGGAGCGTCTCCGCCAGGGTGGGGCAGGGGGTGTGTACCGAGCTCGAGCTTGCCTCATACGCATCTCCCCCCCCCCCCACCGGCAGGCTCTCCTGATTTAAGTCTCTGGGTTAGGGAGTTGGTGGTCCAAGGCTGACAACTCTCTAAACCACAAGTACCATAATGCACTGGGACGCGAGCCAGTAAGAAAAAGGCGGGATTGCATCTACGTGACATCTGGGAATTGTAGTCCTCTGCCTGGACCCCATCCAAGCTCCCACCAGACTCTCCGCCAGGCCTTCAAAGAGGTCGGGTGACCTGCCCATCACACTGCATCTGGTCAGGCCTAGACGAAGGAGAGGGGTTCAAGGCAATGTGGGTCTATACCTTCGCATTTGCTTGGCAAGCGTTCTGTATCATCGTCCTCCTGTTTCGGCGTTCCAGCCCAAACCCCGTTCACGACCAAAAGGAAGAGCAACATTTCCAACCGCACAGGTCCCATGACCACACGCAGTCCTCCAGCGACCACTTCAGGCCTTCACACTAACTTCGAACAGAGGCGGCGGGCCCTTTAAATTCCGAGGCGGTAGGCGGCAACCTTTAAAAAAAAAAGGCGACGCATGCGCAGAGCCAGCCAGAAGAGGTGGGGCGGAGCCTCGTGGCTCAGGGCTTCCCCGCCCAGTGTTTTGTGGCGCCTGCCGAGGGTCCTGTCCACCGTGTGGTGAAAAAATGCATTGAACTCATTAGAGCAGGAGGGCTTGCTTCTTAAACGTCAGTGTGGAAAGAAATTTTAAGAATATGTCATTTCAGGATTTCAGGTTGCAATGGAACGGGACTTGCTCTGGCTCGGCCACGGTGCAGAGAACTTGGCACTTTTCTGCCAGGACCTGCGCCAGGGCGGGGGCGGGGCCAAGATGGCGCCGAGCTCCGGCTGAGCGGCGCTCGGGCTGTGGTGAGAGGGCTTTTCTGCCTGTCCCGGGCGGCTGGGACTGGTACCCGGAAGGGGACCTCTTCAGGGTCCCCCACCCCCGCCTTCCACCGTCCTGTGTGGGGCTGTGAGCCCGTGTTCGTGCGGGCTTTCGTGTGTGAGCCTGCCTAGACCGGACGCTGGGAGAAGATGGGGTGGGCACTCTGAGGATCTGCGACCCGCTTCTCTCTGCTGGGGAAAACTACCGCACCGATCCGATCGAGCTCCTCTGAGAAGCCGGCCCGCCGCCTGCACGGATCCCAGGAGCTCCTGAGGCCGGAGCGTGTTTTAGGAGGCTTTCCTGGCAAGAGGGCACTTGAGGGGTGCTGGAGAATTTAGGAATTCGCCGGGGAGCTGGGACACGACCCCTACTTGTATACCCGGCACCAGGCACGGAGTATGTGTTGATTGGTTGTGTTCCCCCTATAGATAGGGAAAGTGGGGGAGGAGACCTAGGTCCTCCTTGTGCCTCCATTGTCCCATCCCCTGAAATGTCCCCACTCAGTCCCGAACAAGTGTTCACTGCTGATGGTCATCTTTCCATCTTCCCAATGCCGGGCTCCAGACGTGCCACTTTCCTTCAGAGCCTATGGCTTATTCCTCGTGGTCATACTGATAATAACTCCTTAACTCAGCGCCTACTCCTTTTATTCAACAAATATTTACTATCTTACGGCGTCTTACCTGCCTGGTCTCCGGGAATACCATGAGTGACCCAAACAAAGATCCCTGTCTACATGGTGGGTGATGACGATTAAATAAAATGATAGGAAGAGGCCATAAGGTGCATTAATTAAGTGCTGTGACAGGTAGCCAGAGGGACCACGAAGTGGCTTTATTTGGAGAAAAAGACCTACACAGGAGAAATAGAGCTAAGGCCATCCAAGCTTTCTCACGTTTAAAGAATGACGAGGAAGGGTTAGAGATGGGAAAAGGAGACATCATTAGGAAGATTGAAGAGCAAGTGAGGATCCCTTACTGGGCACCATGGTTTGAATTTGGCCCTTGGACCAGCTCCTGTAGGCTCTTAATCCCCAGTCACGCATTTAATGGTTAATGGTGTTAAGCTGCACAGAGGAACCTAAGTGTGTAGTATTAGAGGTGGGGACCTTTGGTGAGTGAGGATGATGCTCCCATAATTGAATCTTGGAGGCTTTATAAGAACAGGAGTACACATACCTTCCACCATGTTGAGAGGGCAGTTTGGGGGCACAGTACTTGTGAGTTAAATATTTCTTTTATATATAGCAGCATTCCTCGGATATTTAGTTACAGTAACAGGAAATTGACTAGTACACAAGGATTTGAGCAGAGAAATGACAGCCTGGTTTACGTTCTGTTACTCACTTTGCTATACATTGAAGAGGTGGGAGTTCACGCAGGCAGATAGATGGATGATGACATGCTGGGCCAAACAGTGAGCAGAAGGGTCAGGCCCGGCTTACCTAGTGGGTTTGGTGGGAGGGCTCAGATGGAGTTCCTGGGTGCTTTAAGGTAAAGAAAGCTGTGTAAGGGAGATGAGGAATCCGGTTGGAGTGGAGATTTTGAGTTGTTTCCCTTTTCTTCTCTTCTGCCTCCTGCACCCCCGAATGTCTACCCTGGAGCCTCAACCTGCGGGGAGGAGGGGTTCTCCAGAATGGCTGAGGAGAAGAAACTGAAGCTTAGCAATACCGTGCTGCCCTCGGAGTCCATGAAAGTGGTGGCCGAATCCATGGGCATCGCCCAGATTCAGGAGGAGACCTGCCAGCTGCTGACAGACGAGGTCAGCTACCGCATCAAGGAGATCGCACAGGTGACCTGACCCTCCTGCCCAAGCCATGCAGTGCGTGCAGTGCAGGCTGTCGCCTGAGGTTCCCTCCTTCCTCTGCGTCCGGGATTGATGATGTCCATTCACCCACCTCTCCAGGATGCTCTGAAATTCATGCACATGGGAAAGCGGCAGAAACTCACCACCAGTGACATTGACTATGCCCTGAAGCTGAAGAATGTCGAGGTGACAGGGACGGACGAGAGGCGGGTGTGGGCTTGGAGGACGCCAGCCTCCAAGTGCTGCCTTTACCTTCAGCCAGCATCTCCAGCCCCACCTCGGCTTCTATCTCATTCTCTTATCTCTCTCCCCATGCAGCCCCTCTATGGCTTCCATGCCCAGGAGTTCATTCCTTTCCGTTTTGCCTCTGGTGGTGGACGGGAGCTTTACTTCTATGAGGAGAAGGAGGTTGATCTGAGTGACATCATCAACACCCCTCTACCCCGGGTGCCCCTGGACGTCTGCCTCAAAGGTTGGGGGAGAGGGACAAGCAGAAAGGCAGGGAGGAGGGAAGAGGAGGAGTGATGCAGGTGTGGGTGGGTGTGAGACTCCCCCCACCCCACCGGTGAAGCAGGTCTCCGTGTGAGATGCCTGGTGAGAGGTCAGAAGGGGATCAGGGACATACCTTCCCCCATGTGGATGGCTGCCTCAAATTCATGTCCAGTGGTCCAGCTCACTACTTCTCTCCCACAGCTCACTGGTTGAGCATTGAAGGATGCCAGCCAGCTATACCAGAGAACCCACCCCCAGGTAACCTCCATTCCACAGCCTGCCCTTTTCCCTCCTCCCCTCTCCATCCATGCCCTGCCTCTCCTGCTGCCTCTCCTACTGTGACCCCTCTTCCAACCAGCTCCCAAAGAACAGCAGAAGGCCGAGGCCACGGAACCCCTCAAGTCTGCAAAACCTGGACAAGAGGAAGATGGACCCCTGAAAAGCAAGGGGCAAGGGGCCACGCCAACTGACGGCAAAGGTCAGTGCCATGAGGCTGTGCCCCTCCTGAGGGAAGCCTGTAGTTATTTGTGAGGTGCATGAGGTCAGGGTCGGTGAGGCCCGGAAGGGGACCAGAGTCCTAGCGGGCAGCGAGGTCTCCGGGAGTGGGGGGATGGAAGCTTATGGGTTATCTGGCACTGCAGAGTCCTCTAGAGCATTCTGTCTTTCCCCAATTCCTGCAGGGAAAGAGAAGAAGGCACCTCCCTTGCTGGAGGGGACGCCTTTGCGCCTGAAGCCCCGCAGCACCCACGAGCTGTCTGTGGAGCAGCAGTTATATTACAAGGAGATTACGGAAGCCTGTGTGGGCTCCTGCGAGGCCAAGAGAGCGGTGAGGACCTGCCCACCAGCCCACCCACCTCCCCCACAAGATGCCTGCTCTTGGGGCCTCCACAGATTGCTCCCCACCTTACCTGCTTTCCCCTCCCCCAGGAGGCTCTACAGAGCATTGCTACGGACCCAGGGCTCTACCAGATGCTGCCACGATTCAGCACCTTCATCTCGGAGGGGGTGAGAATGAGGGTCAGCAAGAACAAGGGGTACCCTGAGGTCTCTCCACCTGAGGGGTCTCTCCATCTGAGGGGTCTCACTGCATCTCCTCTCACTCCCACTCAGGTCCGTGTGAACGTAGTTCAGAACAACCTGGCCCTGCTCATCTACCTGATGCGCATGGTGAAGGCCCTGATGGACAACCCTACGCTCTATCTAGAAAAATACGTGAGTGCTCCTGCCTGTCCTTCCATCTCTCCTTGGCCACTGCAGGCCAGCTGAGCCGCACCTTCTCCCTTAGGTGCATGAGCTGATTCCAGCCGTGATGACCTGCATCGTGAGCAGGCAGTTGTGCCTGCGGCCAGATGTAGACAATCACTGGGCACTCCGGGACTTTGCTGCACGCCTGGTGGCCCAGATCTGCAAGCATTTCAGCACAACAACCAACAACATCCAGTCCCGGATCACCAAGACCTTCACCAAGGTGAGCTGGCATGTGGGCATCAGCTGTTTTCCATCACTGCCCCAGGGCTGTCAGCAGCTCCGCCGCAAGGGATGTTGGGACAGTGTCCTTTTCAGACACCTATCATCTGGTTTATCTTCCTTCCCTTCAGAGCTGGGTGGATGAGAAGACTCCGTGGACAACTCGTTATGGCTCCATCGCAGGCCTGGCGGAGCTGGGACATGATGTCAGGCCCCTGTGGGGAAGCACGGGGGGGGGGGGGGGAAGGAGGTCCTCAGGTTATAGAGGGCAACTGCATCCACCAAAGACGCCTGGTTTACATGGCCTATTCCTCCTGTCCTCTCCTACAGGTGATCAAGACTCTGATTCTGCCACGGCTACAGCAGGAGGGGGAGCGGATCCGCAGCGTCCTGGATGGTCCCGTGCTGAGCAACATTGACCGCATTGGAGCTGACCACGTGCAGAGCCTCCTCCTGGTGACCGAAGCCCCCTGCCTACTGCCCCCACCTCTTGCCACTGACATCTCCGCCCACCAACTCCCTTCTTGGCTGTTCATCTGAACACTGCTTTGCCAGCAGAAATACTCAAGCCCAGAAGGGATAGGAAAAAATGGGGGTGTGCGCTGCCAGCCTGTGACTCACCCTGGTCCTCACAGCCCCTCAGAGGCACCTGTACCACCAGGGCCCACTGCTGTGGTACCAGCAGCTGGTACCTGTATTGCATCATGAGGAAAGGGGTGGGTGATTTCCATGTTCGCCCCTCCAGGGAGGGTACCAGCCTTCCCTCTGCCTTCTCTCTGCAGAAACACTGTGCCCCTGTCCTGGCCAAGCTGCGCCCACCACCTGATAATCAAGATGCCTATCGGGCAGAATTTGGGAACCTTGGGCCCCTCCTCTGCTCACACGTGGTCAAGGCACGGGCCCAGGCTGCTCTGCAGGCCCAGCAGGTCAATAGGACCACACTGACCATCACACAGGTCAGTGACCCTGGAGTGGGATCTGGGCCCTCGGGAAAGGGACTCACACATGCAGGGCCCGAGTCAGCAGCCCCGGGGAGCCCAGCCCCACTGCATGAATGATGTAATACCCTATTCCTTTTCCCTGAGGACTTCTTTTTCTTAGGTGGTGATGTTTTCTTGTTCTTCCCACAGCCTCGGCCCACACTGACCCTCTCGCAGGCCCCACAGCCTGGCCCTCGGACCCCTGGCTTGCTGAAGGTGCCAGGCTCCATCACGTTGCCTGTCCAGACATTGGTGTCTGCGCGAGCTGCTGCCCCACCCCAGCCTTCCCCTCCTCCAACCAAGTTTATTGTCATGTCATCCTCTAGCGCGTCATCCACCCAACAGGTATGTTGGGATGAGCAGTGGTAAGGAAGGCCCCCGGGCGGGGATGTGGGGAGAAGACCAGGTTAGCTGCAGGCACTCTGCGGAGGTCCCAGAGCATAGCCTGAGCCCTGACAGTCCCAAAGTCAGCAGATGGCAGGGTCCCTGCCAGGGGTTTTAGTCTAATGCAGGGGTGAGGAACGTTTCTCTGCCTAGGGCCATTTGGACAGTAGTCATAAACAGCATTCATTCACAAGCCATACACAATTACCCACTTAAAATGACTGCTAGAGGTTTATTGCATTTCAAGTCCTGCCTGTGATAAGATCTTACAGGGCTTTTCCACCTGTGGGCTGGTCATTCCCCACTCCTGGTGGGGATCCTGAAGACGCTAACTTAATTACTGGGGGAGCGAGTACAGCTACACCCCAGGCCTACTGACGCTTCCTTCCTGTCTCCCCAGGTCCTCTCCCTCAGCACCTCAGCCCCTGGCTCAGGCTCCACCACTACCTCTCCTGTCACCACCACAGTCCCCAGTGTGCAGCCCATCGTCAAGCTGGTCTCTACGGCCACCTCTGCACCCCCAAGCACTGCCCCTTCTGGTCCAGGCAGTGTCCAGAAATACATTGTGGTCTCACTTCCCCCCACAGGGGAGGGCAAGGGGGGTCCTGCCTCCCATCCCTCTCCAGTTCCTCCCCCATCCTCTTCCCCCTCCCCCTTGGGGGGCAGTGCCCTCTGTGGGGGAAAACCAGAAGCAGGAGACAGTCCCCCTCCAGCCCCAGGAACTCCAAAGGCTAATGGCTCCCAGCCCTCTGGATCAGGCTCCCCTCAGCCTGCTCAATGACGCCCCCAGTGTGCCGCCCTCCTCTTCCATGGAGCCCTTCACACATGTGGGGTGGAAGGATGGAGGAGGCTCCTGCCCCAATGTGACTTTCTTTTTAGACATTGTACAGCCGTTTGCTCAGAATAAAAGTTTGATTTGTAAGCACTGATGCCTCCACGTTTTCCCTGCATCAGCTCCCCTGGACAGGGCTGGTCCTTGCCTAGCGCTCCTGCTTTCTCAGGAGTCTTCCAGCTCAGATCCAGAGCCAAAGTTCTCAGCCCATTCCGGTGCCAGCTGCTGCAGTGCTTGCTCGAAGAGCCAGCCTCAGATCCGAATGACGTAGGCGCTGCTGTGGCTCAGGTGTCGCACCCACCTATGGGGGTTGCTGCTGCCACACGGCCTGCCCGACAGCCTGAGGAAGCGGACCTGGAGGCCTGAGCATGTATGCCGGGGGAGCTCGAAGGAGAGGCTTGCGGGACCCAGCCCCAGGGGAGGTGCTGTTGTGGAAGGCGCAGGGCCAGGGGGTCCCGGGGGGCCAGGAACATCCATCTGTTGAGAGAGCAGGGCAGCTGTGAGGCTAGGAAAGCAGCTGCCCTGAGAGGGCTGGGCCGGGGACTGCAGCGGCCACTGATACCTGGAAGAGGCCTGACAGTTGAGAGCCTCCTTGTACTCGAGGCAGGTCCCAGTGCAGGGCTCCCTCTCCCAGCTCGGCCTTCTGCTCCGGGCTACTCAGTTCCTGAGACAGGCTGGCATGTAGAGGGGACAGGGCTGGGCTCAGCTGTGCTTGGCCCAGGGCCACGCTGCTCCCCAGGGAACCCACACTCACCTGACCACCCCTCGTGGCAGGGGGAGGTGCAGCCTCACGTTGAGAGCTTGACTGCAAACAAGACAAGTACAAGGCCAGTCCCCTTGTCCCGGGCCTTCCTGGGGTGTGACTATGCAAGTTCACCACAGGTGCCACCTCTACACCCTTCCTAAACATGAATGCTGTCCACTAAACAGGCTGGTGGCTGCACTGAGGCAAGCAGCAGTGGATTCTTGCCCTTGGCCCTGAATCCTGTCCCTTGTAGCCGGACAAGCCCCTCCTCTCACCTCTTTGGGGGCAGGTCACATCGCAACTTCAGGTAAACCTGGAGCCTGGATGAGAAGGTGAGAGACCATTTGTTAGGCTGCATCCTACTGGCATCTCATCTGTGCCCACTAATCCAGCCCAGTGGGGCAAGCTTTTTCTCAATCTGCACCCTCACCATGACTCTACCTCCCTTGGGTGATAAATCTTGGCAGCTGAAATGCCTCGGAACACAGGAAATGGTCTTACCGGCCAGAGCCTCGGTCCCATTGCACAGAGGGAAAGAGCCGGAAGGGCAGTGGGGAGGGGAGGTCATCTGAGAGTTGGTACCGCATCACTGTCAGCTGAGAGCAGAGAGGGCAGAAGGCAGTTAGCTTCCTCCTCCGCTGTGGAAGGAACAGGACAGTCCCCGCACCCTCCCCTAATGACCCTGACCTCGCCCTGCGGTGGCTGCAAGCGAAGGATTCGGTGAGACTCAAACTCATCCAGCTGCACTGAGCTGTGAAATGAGACTTCGTCCACGCGGATCCCCGGTCCGTAACCTGGAGATGGACAGATGACTCTGCTGACCCAGTGTGGGAGACAGTGGGGAGAGGAAGGCCCTTGTTCTCCTCACCTCTCAGTTCAGACTTCCCCACACAAAACTCTTCTGTCAGGCCGATACGCATCTCTGTCCAGAGAAGAATGTCAGGCGGGGTGGCAGGTGCCCCCCAACCACAGCCCCCCACCCAGCACTCCAGTTCTCACCAGATCCGCTGGGAAGAAAGCTCTTGAGGCGGATCTCCCCCTGCACCTCCACCTTCAACAGGGAGCCCTGCGAGAGGCAGGCAGGTTACCTCCCGAGCCCCGTCCACCCGCAGCTCCAGGCCTGCACACCCACACTCACATTTGACGCTATCAGCACAGACAGCCTCTCCACCACGTCCAGGAAAACCTCATTCTTCTGGCTCTGAAGAAGAGAGAGGCTCTGAGGGGCTGGCAGGGCAGTCAGAGCCAGGCTTTGTGGTGGGGACAGGATATCCAAAGGGGGCAGGAAACCATGCCAGGGCCTTGGGTCTGGGACAGGATTCTAAAGCTCTGGGGGTCCCAAGAGGGGGAAGATGAGCCTGACCCCAAGGATCCTGGCTTCACCTGGTCAGAGCGGCTGGACAACACAGGGCGGCTGGCGGCACTGCTGGGGGCCACTTTGCTCTGTTGTGTCTCTGCTCCAAACTGTAAAGTCCCCCAAAGCAATCAGCCCAAGGGCAGGGTACTCCCCAGGCCCTCCACTCACCCCGGGACCTGTCTGCGCCCTGCCTACCAAACCGACGCTGCTGAGGTCGAAGAGACTGAATGGCTTGCTGACCACGGCCTCGGTCTGAATGAAGTTCCTGAGCATCTCAGTGGACGTGGTCTGCACATAGCCATAGTCCTGTAGGCGGAGATGGTAGGAGGGTCACTGGCTGGCCCTTGGAGATGGAAAAGGGCCTCCTATCCTCAGCATCCCATGGGAGAAGGATGGTTATTACAAGGGGTCTTTAAATTCATGGGAAATGGGTATTATGAAAAATGATGCCCAGGTTGCCAAAACTTTAGGATTAGGGGCCACCACTGTGGCATTGCATGCTAAGCCTCCGCCTGTATTGCCCACATCCCACATGCTACACTTGCAGTTCAGCTCTCAGTATGTGACCTGGGAAAGCAGTGGAAGATGGGCCAAAGCCTTGGGCCCTGTACTTATGCAGTGGGAGACCTGGAAGATCCAGGTATCTGGCTTTGGACCAGTCCAATACTGGTCACCATGAACCAGTGGATGTAAGATTCTCTGCCTATCCTCTAAATCTACCTTTCAAACAAACAAAAATGGGGTTGGGGGGGAGGAAGCAGGTATGACGGCTCAATTGGCTAATCCTATACCTGCAAGTGCCAGCATCCCATGTGGACGCTGTTTTGTGTCTCAACTGCCCTGCTTCCCATCCAGCTCCCTGCTTGTGGCCTGGGAAAGCAGTGGAGGACGGCCCAAAGCCTTGGGACCCTGCACCCATATGGGAGAGCCAGAAGAAGTTCCTAGCTCTCAGCTTCAGATCAGCTCAGCTCCAGCTGTTACAGCCATTTGGGGAGTGAATTAGTGGATGGAAAGATCTTTCTGTCTCCCCTCTCTGTAAAAACCTAAGTTTCCAATAAAAAGTAAACAAATGTTCAAAAAAAAAAAAAACCTTCTGGACTGAAGTAAAAGCATATTGTAATTCCATTTTCTCATGAAGAAAAAAAAATTGTTGAAGCCAACGCGCTCACCAGAAGAGTTGGCCCTAGGTCTTACCAACACCTCCTCCAGGAGCTCGTAGACAAGAGCCACGTTGCGGGAGATGGTGGCCTCCCCGAGGGAGCCGCAGTAGTCGCCCAGGAGAGTGGCTATCCTGAGGAGGCAGGCGGGGAGTGTACTGTGCAGGCGTTCTTCCCCTCCGCCCGCCTCCTCGGGTCCACTCTGGCCCAGCCCAGTCCTCCTCACCGGGACAGCAGCTCCAGCAGGCTGAAGGGAGAAACGTTTTCGGAAGTCGTGGCAACCAAGTAGAGGCCGCTGTGCCTGATGTGAATGAAATGACGGCCATCGTGGTGCTGCTGGACCAGACGTGGGGGACAGGAAGGCGTTCGGAGGGTTGGAGTAACTGAAGACCCGAAGCCCACCCTGGAGCACACCTCCCGGAACTCCCACTGCCCCAGAGACGCTAAGCCATGCCAGCAGCCGTGCCCACTGTCAGCCCTTGGGGTGACTTGAGGGATGAGCTTTCTTACCCCCGCCTCCCAAGCGGAAGCTCCCAGTCTCTCCACAACCCATGCCGCCCGCCGTGAGTGGTTACCATGACAACCGGGGACTCGTCTCCCGGCAGGTCCGTCAGCTTCCGGTAGAAGAGTTCAGCCACATCCCGGCCGCCACTGTCCCCGCGGACTGGCCAGTGGGACAGTTAAGGGGGCCAGCGACCCAGGGCTGAATGTGGGCACGACTTCCACACCTCCCCGACCCCTCTCTCCGAGCGACACCACCCCAACCGCGGGTCAAGGATACAGTCTTTGTAAATGAGCGGGTCCCCCTTGGAGGACAGAATGAAGAACTGGGAAATCATGGCCGTTCGAGAGAGTGGACAAGAACGCGCAGCCCCGGACAAAGGACCCTCGACCCCCGGGTTGGCCCTTTAGGGACGCGTCTCCTCCGCGGGGAGAGGTTGGAGGGAAGGCAGAGCCTCCCGTTGCCTCAGCCGGCGCTCACCTTCCGACCCCTCAGCGCCCGCCTCCCCGTCGCTCAACCCAAGGCACGCCCCACCATTGGCCGAGGCCGCGAGTGGGCGGGACGGAGGGCCGGCCTCTCCGATAGGCCCAGGGGCAGCGGCGCGGGTCACGTGGGGGGCGACGTTTCGCGCCAATTTCGGTTGGTCGGCCACAGTCGGCGGCGCCGACATTTCTGTGCTTCTCCGGATCCGGACTCGGGCGCCTGCCAACTGCGGCCGCTTGGCCCTCGGCAGCCATGGCGCTGAAGGACTACGCGCTCGAGAGAGGCAAGAGCCTGCACGGGCGGGAGGCGCGGCCCGCGCCGGGGATGCCTTCGGGGATAACACCTGTTGGTGCAAACCGGCGCTCTTGGGGGGCCGGGGTGGCCCGGGCTCTGTAAAGGACGATCGAGCCCAGGGACGGGGTGTCCGTGCCGAGGCGGACGGTGCGGTGGGAGGCGCCTGGGCGACATCGGGGTTGGAGAAGGTTTGCGGGAAGGGGGACTGAGTGGGCTGGAGGGTCCTCGAGAGGCCCGTCTGCAACGACGGGGCGGGAAGGGGAAGGAGCCCTTAACACGATGGCGATTCGTCCCTCCTAAGTTTTCCCGCGCGCTCCCGAGCCGCGCCGAAGTCCCGGGCAAGGGCGGGCAGCCCGGGGCCGCTGCGCGTGGCGATTGGCCACCTAGGGCTGCCCTCCCAGCGGAAATGGCGGCGGCGGCGGAAGTGGCTCCCGCTCGCTCTGCGCGGGTGGAGGAGGGAGTGTCGTGTGTAAACAGTGTCCTTCCGCGCGCGCGGTGGCCTCGGCCATGGCCGCCGAGGGCTGGGAGGCGGGGAGGCCTCGGGGGCGGGCCGGGGGGGCGCGAGGCCCAGGGAGGCGGCGGCCATCGAGGGGCCGCGCGGGGCAGGCCCGGGCAGCCTGGCTGAGAGCCCCCACCGAGCCGGGCTCCCGCGGCGGGCGGAGGAATCCCGAGCGGCGGTGAGGCGGCTGGCAGCGGCGGGGCCCATGTGCTTCTTTGTTTACTAAGAGCGGAAGCCGTGGCGGGAGCGGGGGTGGGGCGGCCAGCCCACGCGAGACGGGAGCTGATCGGGGACCCGCGGGTGGGCATCAGCAACGCGGAGGGCTGCGGAAACCCGAGGCGGGTGTTGGGGAGCGGTGCGGGGATTCCCTGCCGGTGGGGGGGGGGTGTGTGTGTGGAGGGAGGGTGTTGGGGACTCCCTTGTAGGAAGTGGCTGAGGGGACGGAGTTGTTTCCACGCGACTTGTGCAGGTGTGATCCGATCTTAGTTCCTGCGGGATCGCAGGTGCCTGACTACTCCTTGTGATTTTTTTTTTTTTAACCTGACAGAAAAGGTGAAGAAGTTTCTGCAAGAGTTTTACCAGGATGAGGAGTTGGGGAAGAAGCGGTTCAAGTACGGGGACCAGTTGGTAAGTCTGAGGATGTGTGAAGACTGTGGGGCATGGGGTGGTTCCTCAGGGGCTTGTCTCAGCAAGTGCCTGTGGGATCGTGCTACTGCTGCTGTGTGGGTGCCCGCAGGTGAGCTCTGAGCCCACGGCGGCCGTCCGTAGGTCCAAACCCTTTTCCACCCCAGGTGCGCCTGGCTCACCGGGAGCAAGTGGCGCTGTATGTGGACCTGGATGATGTTGCCGAGGATGACCCCGAGCTTGTGGACTCGATCTGTGAGAATGCCAAGCGCTACTCCAGGCTCTTTGCCGATGCCGTGCAGGAGCTGCTGCCCCAGTACAAGACCAGAGAGGTGAGTGACTGGAGAGCCGGGACCTGCTGGGCCTCCTTTGTCGGTGCTCTTGTTCATTGCTGATGTGCCTTAGGTGGTAAACAAAGATGTCCTGGATGTTTACATCGAGCACCGGCTGATGATGGAGCAGCGGAGCCGGGATCCCGGGGCTGCCCGGAGCCCCCAGAACCAGTACCCTGCTGAGCTCATGCGCAGATTGTGAGTGGATGCTGGGGGTGGGGATGGAGTGGAGAGTTCTGCTGTCCAGGACCTTACTGATAGCTCCCTCCCCCCACCCCCTTTAGTGAGTTGTATTTCCAGGGTCCCAGCAGCAATAAGCCTCGTGTGATCCGGGAGGTGAGGGCGGACTCCATAGGAAAATTGGTAACCGTGCGTGGCATCGTCACTCGTGTGTCTGAAGTCAAGCCCAGGATGGTGGTGGCAACTTACACTTGCGACCAGTGTGGGGCAGAGACCTACCAGCCGGTACGTAATCAAAAAGCACTCAGTGCGAACGTTAGTCTTACCTGGATGTTTTCCTGTCATTCTGTGGTTGTAACAGCCCAGAGTAGCTCAGATGTTCTCGACAGTTATTAGATGTCTGCCAGGAAGCTAAAACGTGGTTGAAGGAATGGATGACCATAACGGCCCTTTCCTTTCTGATTTCTTTTGGTACCTTCTTTGCCAAATTCTAGATCCAGTCTCCCACTTTCATGCCTCTGATCATGTGCCCAAGCCAGGAGTGCCAGACCAACCGCTCAGGCGGGCGGTTGTATTTGCAGACACGCGGCTCCAAATTCATCAAGTTCCAGGAGATGAAAATGCAGGAACATGTGAGTTTGGGGTATGTGGCCTAGGTAGGTGGAGCACGGGGGTGTGGGGATTCCACTTAAATCCTAGAGTGTCAGAAAGCCCGAAAGCGGGGAGGGTTGGGTTAGATGATATGGAGCATGGCAGCCAGGAAGGACTGAGATGCCTCTGGGAGGAAAGTAAGGCTCCTGTGGACTTTAGTCTCTTTCTCCTGGCTCATGGACTCTCCCTTCCTTTAGAGTGACCAAGTGCCTGTGGGAAATATCCCTCGGAGCATCACAGTGCTGGTCGAAGGAGAGAACACCAGGATTGCCCAGCCTGGAGACCACGTCAGTGTCACCGGTATCTTCCTGCCGCTCCTGCGCACTGGGTTCCAGCAGATGGTACAGGTAAGAAATGTATTGACGTCATCATTCCCCTGTCCCCAATTCTGCAGCACAGAAGAAACAGCAGAAAAATCAGCCAGTAACACAGAACCAGTCCTGTCGGGAGGTCATTAGGGGAGTGGGCTATGATCAGGTTAAAGGGTTTTCATTCCTGCATGTTCCTGCCCAAGGGTCTACTCTCGGAGACCTACCTAGAGGCCCATCGGATTGTGAAGATGAATAAGAGTGAGGATGATGAGTCTGGGGCTGGAGAGCTGAGCAGAGAGGAGCTGAGGCAGATTGCAGGTGAGGGGCTGGGCCCAGGAGAGAGGGGGAGTTTGTTTGGTCCTAGTCCCCTTCCCCTCATGAAAGGTCCCGGCCTTCACTTCCCTCAGAGGAGGATTTCTATGAAAAGCTGGCAGCGTCCATCGCCCCCGAGATCTATGGGCATGAGGACGTGAAGAAGGCGCTATTGCTCCTGCTGGTGGGAGGTGTGGACCAGTCTCCTCGAGGAATGAAAATCAGAGGTGAGATGGGAAAAGGGGTGGGATGGGGGGCGGGCGGTGAAGTCATTCTGCAGAAAAGGGTTACGCTGCAGAGTGTCATATAACATGAAACAGTCTCTCAGAGGCTTCCTTCCTTCCCTTCCAGGCAATATCAATATCTGCCTGATGGGGGATCCTGGTGTGGCCAAGTCACAGCTCCTGTCTTACATTGACCGCCTGGCCCCCCGCAGTGAGTACTTGGGCCCTGGAGAGGCAGGACTAGGTAGTAAGGGTGGTGGCAGGGCCAGGAAGGTGAGGGCAGCCCTGTGCACAGCCTTGGCTGTCGCAGAAGGGGAGCTGGGGACAGGTTTCGTCTCACTCCCGTTTGCTGTGGGCTTCATCCTGACTGCCCTGCTTGTTCCTTTCCTACGTACACTGACCTCTCTTCCTCCAGGCCAGTATACAACAGGCCGAGGCTCTTCCGGAGTGGGGCTCACGGCAGCTGTGCTGAGAGACTCTGTAACTGGGGAGCTGACCCTGGAGGGCGGGGCCCTCGTGCTAGCCGACCAGGGAGTATGCTGCATTGATGAGTTTGACAAGATGGCTGAGGCCGACCGCACAGCCATCCACGAGGTCATGGAGCAACAGACCATCTCCATCGCCAAGGCGGGCATCCTCACGACACTCAACGCCCGCTGCTCCATCCTGGCGGCTGCCAACCCTGCTTATGGGCGCTACAACCCCCGCCGCAGCCTGGAGCAGAACATCCAGCTCCCTGCTGCGTTGCTCTCCCGGTTTGACCTCCTCTGGCTGATCCAAGACCGTCCTGACCGAGACAATGACCTCCGGTGAGTGGAGCTCCATGGCCAGAGGTTGTGGGACATGGGACAGGCCGTAAAGCCCTCAGCTGCTCTGCTTGTGGAGACTGCAGAACCTTCCTGGAGCATTGCTTGAACTGCACTTCTCACCCACTCAAGTGCTGGTGAGGGTTTCCTGGGAAGCTAGCCCTCACCACTCTGCAAAGGCAGTGACAGTGAAGAGGAATGTTAAGGACAGGACACAGTGTGTAGCTCTAAGAGCTTTCCTTCTTGCCTCCATTCTGCGCAGCTTGGCCCAGCACATCACCTACGTGCACCAGCACAGCCGGCAGCCCCCTGCCCAGTTCGAGCCTTTGGACATGAAGCTTATGAGGTAAGGTGTTTCTGAGTGAGGACAGGGATACTTCAGGCATGCCTTCAGCTTGTGGAATAATTCTCTCCCTTGCCACTTGTCTGCCCCGTCCCAGGCTGGAGAACACCCAGTCCAGGTCCCCCAAACCTGGCTAGATGGCAACAGCATGTCTTTACCATCTGCCTTTGTTGCCGCTGTTCTCTGTACAACACAAGTTGATTTCTGGTCCCTTTTGCCTTGTGTTAGGTTCCTTAGTGATACTTAAGAATCATCTGTTGTGTTACATAGACATGGAACCCTTAGGCACAAAACGCCTTGTCTCCTTTCTTCCCAGGCGTTACATCGCTATGTGCCGGGAGAAGCAGCCCACGGTCCCAGAGTCTCTGGCTGACTACATCACGGCAGCGTATGTGGAGATGAGGCGAGAGGCCTGGGCCAGCAAGGATGCCACATACACATCCGCCCGGACGCTGCTGGCCATTCTCCGACTTTCCACTGCTCTGGTGAGTGCCTGCCCCCAACCCTGTGGGAGGGTAGTCTGGATACTTATCAGAGTGTGCCTCCACTTGGCCCCTGCTGCCTCCTCCCACTCCCGCCCTGCGGGGGCTAAAGTGCTGACAGTGCAGATAGTGGTCCTGTCCGTGCTACCGCACTGTGGGTACTTGCTGCTCCAGCAGGGCACGCACCACGTCCACGGAGGGAAAGGCCTTCTCCAAGCTCCTGCAGCCTCACTGAGGGAATGGGTGGGGTTCATCTCACTCCCCTTGTCCCTGCTCCTGTGCCCTAAAGCTCTCTTTATGTCCTCACATCTTGGACCTCAGTCCAGGGGGCTCCAAAGTGCTGTTCGTGCAGGTAGTGTGATTACCTGACCTACTGCTGAGCCAGCACTTCCCGAGCCCCTGGGACACGGCCTCTGCCAATCACCAGCTAGGCTGAGTGCCCCAGTGGAGTTCAGAAGGGTTTGGTCTCCCTCACAGGACAGCTGAACACCGGGACTGGCCAGTGTTGAGAGGCGGAGACTTGGGCAATTGCTGGACGCTGCCCCGGGCATTGCACTTGTCTCGGTCTGACAGTGCCGGCCCTACACTGCGGATGTGGGGGAGCAAGGGAAGGGGTCCCTGCTCATCTTGTGAGTTAATCAGCTTTAAAGCTGGCATAAGGGGGTTCCCTGACCTTATTCCATTCCCTTCCTGTCCCCATGTTTCCCCTACCTTCCCCTTAGGCGCGTCTCAGGATGGTAGACACAGTGGAGAAGGAAGATGTGAATGAAGCCATAAGGCTGATGGAGATGTCCAAAGACTCACTGCTGGGTGACAAGGGGCAGACAGCCAGGTGAGCAGTTTGATGATGATATTGGATCACCTTGTGTGGAATGGGCTTCAGCATCCAGATGCGTGAGCTCAAGACTTGACACTGACCTTCTTTCTTGGCCATTGTCAAGTGTCCTGGCTTGTGCTGTGACCTCACACCCTCATTTCTCCTTCAGGACCCAGAGGCCAGCAGATGTAATATTTGCCACTGTCCGCGAACTGGTCTCAGGGGCCCGAAGTGTCCGGTATTCAGAGGCGGAACAGCGCTGCATCTCGCGTGGCTTCACACCTGCCCAGTTCCAGGCAGCTCTGGACGAGTATGAGGAGCTCAATGTCTGGCAGGTCAATGCTTCCCGGACACGGATCACTTTTGTCTGACTCCAGCAATGGCTGCAGTCCTTGGGACCATCGCTATTTACGGCTGACCTCCCCTCTGGAGGGGCTCCTCCTGCCCCTCCTGTACTGCACTTGTTTTTTCTTTTAATAAAATGTGTGTGGATTGCTGCCTTCTGCTCCCAACAGCTGTTACGGCCTCTAGGCTGGTCCTACCCCACCTCGCCAGGGAGCTTACTCTGGGAGTCGTCATCTCGGCTTCCAGTGTTATACAATGAAGGGGGTACGTGAAAACTGGGAAACTGAGAGTTGTGTGCAGGCCACTCTTGACGTTAACTCCATCTACGTTAGAGTACCCACAGGAGAGTCCCTAATAAAAGTGACCTGACCCTGCTCCCTTTTCATGTGTGTGGAAACTGTTGCCTAACAAGAGAGGACAGAGCCACTGGAAGGAGTGCTGAGGGGGGCTGCTCCTTTTATTAATGACAAACTTTCTCTAAAGGGAGTATAGCGCCCCTCCCCTTTGTGCATGACCCCAGTGCTTCATCCCTTCAAGTACTACCCTCTCTTCAGAAGAAGAGGCCTCGCATTCGCCTGCCGATGCCTTGTCGGTCATAGAGGACGTTGAACTTGTTCACAAACTGGTTCATGGTGTTGCATGTCTTGGTGATGGTGCCGAGGTAGGCCATGAGCCCCACGTCGTTGCATTGCTGGGAGGGAATAGAAAGAACCAGTTCTCTTGTGTCCCTCAGTGGGGCCCCCATCCTGAGAGTGAAACCTCCCGACCAGCATCTCATACTCACATCATAAAAGTCTGTCTTGAACTTGTCTGTGCTGAGCACGGGGAGGCAGTGACACAAAGCGTAGGCCTCCCGCAGGATCTCATGATTAAACGGAACCTCTCCTACAGACAGACCGAGACTGCATTAACGTGGATGCTGTCACTTTCCCAGCGGGGGGGATGTGGAAAAGCGGCAGGGAAGCCAGAGGCTCATGCTACCTGCTTCAGAGGCCTTGACGTACTCCAAGATGAGCTTCACGCGGCTGTGCAGCATCTTGATGGCGCTGTGCTGGGCAATCAGGTGCTCGGCCACTGCAGGGGACAAGGACAAGGGCAGGCTGAGAGGGTGTCAGCCACGACCTTCACCCCTCCTTCCAGGGAATCCCCATTACCAGTAGAGTTCTCTCCACTGCCTGTGGCTGTCATCCGGGCCACATGATCCACTCCAATACGTTCAGCCTCCTCTGTAGCCAGTGTGTACGTCAGCTCAGCAAACAGCATTGTGGCCTGTGGGGCAGGGCACCCCCCAGGGGGAGAGTGAGAAGCAGGACACATGCCTTGGGCAGGACCTGAGGGGCGAATGGTCCGGCATTACCTCTCCATTGATGATATCGATGACAGACTCGAACACGCTGACTGGGAGCTGTGGAGAACAGAGAATGGCCCTTACCACCAGCCAGTGTGCACTGCTAAAAACGGGCATCTCCTCCCACCTGACCTTCACGAGAGGCTAAGGTGGGATTATCCCCGTTTGGAGGTTAAACGGCACCCAAAGCCACCCAGCCAGCAGGTGGCAAACGGGCAGAATGGAGGGAGAGTCAACTCTGCCTTCCCCAGTAGACAAGCATGGCCCGAGCCTGGTGCTACTCACATCTGTGTGCTTGGTCATGGGGTTCAACTTCAGAAAGAGGGGGCTCTCGATGATCTCACACACCTGGAAGAGGGATGCCACCACAGAAGTCAATATGCCCCCCTCCTCCCCTCTTCACTCCCCTCGATGCAGAGCGGTGAGCTGGTGCAAATACCTGCTTATGCACGTGGATGTCGGAGGGGTCGGGCGGTCCCCCTGTGGTATACCAGCCCAGGAACTCCAACTCCTTGAATACCTGTTTAACTAGACAATACATGGTATTTCCTTAATTCTCTTCACCATAATGCTTCCATTCCCATGTCCCTGTTGATTTCTTCCCAACCCTCTTCATCCCCTCTCTTTTTTTGGAAACTCTCCCCCCCCACCCTCCCCCACCCAACACCTCTCCCAAGCTTGGGTGCCCTCTCACACTGCTCCTCCTTGGTGTAATAATATTCCTTGTCAATGATAATCTTCTCCTCCACAGTGTGGGACAGCAGTTCAAAAGAGTTCATCACCTCGATATTCCGGCCCTCCTGCTTCCCGATGAGGGCCCCAATCACTGCGGGGAAGACAAGGAACACGTGAGGGGTGCAGGCAAGGGAACCCCCAAACTTGATGCTCCTGGCGGTGTGTGGGCAAGCAGCGACTAAGGGAGGAGCCCACCGGGGCAGATGACGGAGGAGGGGAGGTCAGAGGAGGCCGCTCACCCTGCATCGGCCGCCCCTCCTGGGAGCGCATGCGGATCCAGTGGTCTGAGATGTTGAGAATGACGAGAGGATGAAGGGCGACGGAAACACTGCCGGTCACTCCGGAGGCCATGACGCTGGGGACGACTGAGTGGGGCGGGGAGAGGGGAAGCAGAGTGGGTGGGAGTCCGGACACCCACGTTCCTCCTCGGGAGATGGGAGTGGGGGACCACACAGCGCTCCCGGGAGTCGACCCAGCGACAGACGATGCTGTTCCGCTCTCCGCACGTCTCCCGAGAGTCCACGAGGGCCTTGCCGCACCCCTGAACGAGCTCTCCAGCACTCGTCCCCACACAGCCCCGTTACCTGCTGCATCCACCTCCATCCCGCTGCTCCCTCCGGTCCCGTTCGCCGCAGCCGCCGCCGCCGCCATTTTCCCCGCGCCCGCCAGCTTCGGCCCCGCCCCCTTCCCTCGCGGCTTCCGTACCGCGAGCTGCGCCTGCGCAGTGTCCCCGCGCGGGGGGGGGCGGGACGGAGCGCCCAGTTCCTGAGCGTGGCTGCCTCAGTCACTTCATTCTCTGCTTCTGAGTCGTCGCCGTCGGGAGAATTACGATCAGGATCGCTGAATTCTTCCGATGGCCGCAGAATGAAAGCCGTGTCCGTGCATGGATCTGCACGTCCCGTTTTTCCTCCTTCCAAATAAATACTAATATCAGGTTCGGCTTTCGCCCAGGGCCCAACTCAGATTGTAAGTTAGTTCTGGTGGCCATGGAGCCCAGTTTCAGTTCACACTTGTCAAAGGAGTGGACCTGAAAACTCCTGCAGGGCCAGGGGGTCTTTGGTTACCAAGGAAAAGTTAAAATGTATCTCATTCGGTGGGGGCAGATGTTTGGCTCGGTTAAGTCGCTGTTTGGGACACCAACATTATACAAGGGTTCTTGTTCCTGTTCGGGCTCTGCCAGCAAAGCTCCTTCCTGGGGAGTAATGGGCTCCTGCCTTCACCTCAGTCCAGTACCGGCTGTTAAGAGCATCTGGGGAGTTCCACGCTGTGGACTAACAGGAGAGCTGGTTCTGCCTTTTAAATAAAATGAGAAATAAATAAATAAATAAATATTTTAAAAAATAATTTATTTGGGCCCAGCGCAATAGCGTAGTGGCTAAAGTCCTCACCTTGCCTGTGCCGGGATCCCAAAATGAGCTCCGGTTCATATCCTAGCAGCTCTACTTCCCATCCAGCGCCTTGCTTGTGGCCTGAGAAAGCAGACGAGGACGGCCCAAAGCCTTGGGACCCTGCACCCGCGTGGGAGATCCAGAAGAAGCTCCTGGCTTCAGATTGGCTCATCTCTGGCCATTGTGGCTCCTTGGGGAGTGAATCAGTGGACGGAAGATCTTCTCTGTCTCTCCTCCTTTCTCCTCTCTGTATATCTCACTTGCCAATAAAAATAAATAAAATTAAAAAAATAAAAAGATAAGTCATATTTTTAGGAAAGATGGGCAGTTTCTAAGCAGTATAGTGTGTCCCAGCTAGACTGAACTGACAGCTGAAATAAAAGCAAAAATTATTATAGGGTTGGTAAAGTTGATAGTGGTATTCGCTATCTGACATTGAAAAACATTTGCCTTTTTAATTGTGTTAAATGTACAACTCATGAAATGTAATTATAGTGTAACTGAAGGATGACCTTGAAATTCAATCAATTGATTATTCCCAATTTAGAAATAAGTTTACTCCTCATTTCTTAAAATACATTATATGTTTTTAAAACTATAAAAACAAGCCAAGTTGAATTACGGTATTAGTACAGTTGTCTTTCCATTGCTCTCCCACGTTCCAACAAAAACATCCAGTGTTTTTATTTGTATTGACACACAAAGCATTGCTGTGTTGGTTTGTTAACTTCCTTTTCTAGAGTGGTGGTGACCACTCTGGCAGGAGACAGAGCAGAAGGTCTAAAAAACAAAGATATTGGGAGGCGGTGGGGCTGGAGTGTTGGCTCAGTTGGCTGATCTTCGGGTGCTATTATCCCATTTGGGAGCTGATGCTTGTCCCAGTTGCTCCGCTTCCCATTCAGCTTCCTACATGTAGCCTGGGAAAACAGTGGAGGATGATCCAAAGTTTTGGGATCCTGTACCCACATGGAAGACCTGGAGGGGGCTCCTGGCTTCAGATTGGCTCAGTTACAGCTGTTGCAGCCATTTGGGCAGTGAACAAGAGGATGGAAGATCTTCTTCTCTGTCTTTCTCTCTATAAATCTGCCTTTCCAATAAAAATAAATCTTTAAAAAATAATTTAAAATATTTATTTATCTATTTGGAGGTCAGAGTTGCAGAGGGAGAAGGAAAGACAGAGAAAGATCTTCATTTGCTGGTTCATGCTCCAGAAGGCCACAAAGGCAGGGGCTGAGCCAAGCCAAAGCCAGGAGCTTGGAACTCCATCCAGGTTTCCCACATGGTGGATGGGGGTCCAAAACACTTGAGCCATGTGCTGATGTTTGCCAAACCATTAGCAGTAAGCTGGATTGGAAATGGAGCAATTGAGACATGAGATGGTACCCATATGGGATGCCAACATAGCAGGTGTAGGCTTTACTTCTGTCCCACTGTTGCCCAGATAAAGAAGGAAGGAAAGGAGGAAGAAAGAAAGAAAAAACTAAAGTGAGAGACTGGAAAGAATTCTGAGTCCCTGGCTGTGGCCTGGACCAGTACTAGTCATTGCAACCATTTGGAGTGAACCAACAGATGAAAAACCTCTTGTATTTTCCTGTCTCTATCACTTTACCTTTTGAATAAATTAATACAGCTTTTAAAAACTCCCACACATCAAATAAATAAGATAAATTATGCATTAAAAAAAATCCTCCCACAAGCAGATCTGGAGATTAGAAGTCTGAAATTGTGAAGACCACAGAGCCAGGCTCCTGTGAGGGGAGATTGGGTACTCATCTTTCCAGCACTTTTTTTCCCAAAGATTTATTTTTATTGTGAAGTCAGATATACAGAGAAGAGGATAGGCAGAGAGGAAGATCTTCCATCTGCTGATTAACTCCCCAAGTGGCTGCAACAGCCAGAGATGAGCCGATCCAAAGCCAGGAGCCAGGAGCCTCTTCCAGGTCTCCCATTTGGGTACAGGGTCCCAAGGCATTGGATGGTTTTCGACTGCTTTCCCAGGCCACAAGCAGGGAGCTGGATGGGAAGCAGAGCTATTGGGATATGAACCGATGCCCATATAGGATCCTGGTGTGCAAGGTGAGGACTTTAGCTGCTAGGCCACCATGCTGGGCCCATAGCATTTACTTTGTACAAAGCTTTACATATATTTTCCAGAAATGATAAAACTCCCAGAAGATGTGTGTAGGATTTATGTAAATATTGGGTCACTGTAGAACAGGAACTTGCACATCCAGGACTGGGGTATCCAGGAAAGTTGCAGGGATGGAGTTGACTGTAGACATATCTGTGTTTGTCTCCTTAATTGTGGTTTCTGAAATGTCCTCCCTTACCAGGAGGCGGTATTTAACACTTACCTGCATCCTGTCTCGCTTCATGGCTTTGCACTGGCTGTTCCTTGCACCTAGAACATTCCTGCTTCCTTCATGGGCAGCATCGCTCCACAGAAAGTCTTCCCACTGGCCCTGCTGTCAGTCAGCTCCTTCTAGTAACTCCATATATCTCAGGACTGGTTATAGCTTCTAGTTGGCACAGTCAGAGGTGCTATATTCCCGGGTGCAACAGGTGTCTCAGCTCAGGGGAATAAAAGCTATCCCGGCAGCCAGTCAGGAGAGCCTTTTCCACAGGCCAGAACGAGATCTCATCTTGTATGTAACCGCAAGAACTTGACTTCTATAATGCGGTAGCTCTGGCCCTGGTGCCCTCCATTTATTCCTGAATGGCTTTGTGTCGCTGCCCTTAAAGCAGAACAAACGCTCTGACGAGCTGCAGCAACCTTATAGGGGGCATTCTCCAGTAGGAGACACGATCATTTCGTTTGTTTAGAAGCAAGTTTCAGACAAGGGTACTTTTTTCTGCTGATGAATTCTCTTCAGGAGTCTCACCGCGTACTGCGGCCCTTAGGGACTCGAACCCGGGGAAAGTGTGGAAAGGGGACCAGGGGTCGGCACCCGAGCATGCGCTCTGGACTCGAGGGCCGCGCCTGCGCCTTAGTGCACTTGGCCTGACCAGCAGGGGGAGCAGCCGAGCCGGCCCCGAGTGTCGCGCCCGGAGTCCTTGCCAGCCTGTCAGCGGCGCCCAGACAGCCAACCACCGAGACACGAAGACCTCCCGTTTTCCTAGAGAGAACAAGTGGGCGTGGGAGGAGGGTGGAACATCAAGGTGCAGTGGGTGGTGGTTAAAAACACACACACACACACACACACATACACACACACACAGACCGACCCGGAAACGAAAACAGGGCCAACTTCCGTTCTTTGTTCTGTGCCCTGTGTGTGGGTCTGTGACAGGGTGACCATCCGGGCCTGGTCTGTGTCCGATCCCCCCCAAATCTCCCGTCCCCGCCCCCAGGGTGAGTCCGGCCGTCCCGCGGCACCCCGTTTCTCTCCCTCCCCTGAAGCCGGTTCGCGACTCCACTCCCCCTCGCAGCGGGATCCCGAGTGAGTTGGGGAGAACGGGCTCAAGGTTCAGGCTTTGGTAACCCCGACAATGCCCTGCTCGCACATTTTGAAAGTTGGGGGAAAAAAAAAAGTTGGCGACAGCGACCCTAGCTGGGTCCTTCTCTCGGGTGCTTCTACGTTGAATCGCGCCCGGCGCAGGCAAGTCCACGAAGTTTGCTTTTGACACAGCCGGTATGAGGATCCCAGCTCTGCAAAGTGTTTGCAGTTAGAACTAGGGCTGAGAGCCGGTGCACAGCCGGGTTCCCCCATACATCGAGTCCTTTTATGGGACGTGTGGATGGGGGCGAGTGAGGCAGCCGGTCCTAGGGCGACCGTGAGCAGGAGTTGAGGTTGACTTTGAGAATCTTAGCAAAACAGTTGTATGGTGACCTCAATCAGCGCCTGTTAGCCTGTGGCCTCCCTTCCCCGCCCCCCGCCTCTATCTTCATAAATCATAAATGAGGTCTGTATGAAGATTTCAAATAGCTTTTGTTTCTGACTCACCCAACCATTGTCACCAACCAAAGTCAGAGTTCCTAGGAACAGGCTGCCGGATTCCCAGCCATCATCATTTTGGCCTTCAAGGAACTAACTCCAGAGAAGGGAGGAAAGAATCCTGGTAAAGCACTCCAGGGCTCAGGGTTTCTTTTGTTTTCTTTTTTGATTTCTCCTGCAAGGCCATCTCTCATTGCCTGGGAAGGACTGGGGTGGGGTGGGGCGGGGACGGCTCTGACTGAATTCAGCTGTGTGTGTGTGTGTGTGTGTCGTGGGTGCACAATGGAGTTTTCTTTCCACGGGTAGCATTGTTGAGGGGTTTGTCTTTGCTGGACACAGCTGCGAGGAAGGCAGGTTGCTGTGTTCTCTGGGGCCTTTGCCCCTCTAAAGCAACGTTTCTGCCCGACAGTGGCTGCTGGGAGTTGCAGGACGGTGATGGGTGGCAGGCGTGTGTCGGCATGACCGCCAGCTGGGCCTGGTGTGGTGCTTTTCAGTGTGTTAGTGGGTGCCTCATCCCCCCTCTCCATCCCAAGGCTAGACTTCTTGGTACTTCCAAGGACCCTCAGGGGAGGCCCCTCCCCCTCTTATGCCTCAAGTAACACAGTCTCTATACTTCTGTACATTCCTGATTATTTTTTCTCCCTAATTCCTTGTGGTATTATTTTTGCGGTGTAGTTGATACTCAACAAATGTTTGTTTTTATGAGCAAATAAGAGAGGGATGTGGATAAAACCCGGAGTGTTTTCCCCGTGCTGCTATAAGGACACTGGTAGTTGCTGTACCTTTCCAGATGTTGATCTTGTCCCGGGATTCGGGTGCGAGGTAGAACCTTCCATCCTGGACTTGTGCACCCACTCTGCTGTTTTAAACACCATTCAGAGTGTGTGGGAGGAGCCAAAGGTGAGCTGTTAAAGGGAAACTGCTTCTCTTTAGTAGTTCTCATGTTAGTTTCCTTGTGGGGTACCTATTTCCCTGGATCTGAAAGACATTCCTTCCGCCCTCAGGAGGTACTGACTTGAAGCTAGGACCCCTCTTGGGCTCCGAGGGTCCTTGAAAGGATCTTCAGCTTTTGTGTCTTCTGTGCTTCCTCATCCCACTCAGAACCTGCTTCCCGCTGCAGCTGCAGAGAGGAGACCCGGGACCCATGGAAACGCAGGCTGACCGCATCCCGCAGGAACCCCAGGCCCTGCTGGAGAGTGGTGAGCAATGAAGATGATTTATTCTTGTATTCAGTAGGTCGACGATTATTTATCGAACTCTCTTGTGCACCAGGCCCTGGGCTAGCTAGCTTCTGAATTCCAGATTTTAGGACATATCCTGCTGTTCACAGCTTACAGCCTAGTGAGAAAAGTCCATAGCTAGACAGAGGGATTATTAATTTTTAAGATTTGATTATTTATTTATTTATTTTAAAGGTTTTTTTTTTTTTTTTTTTTTTTTTTTTAGGGCCCAGAGCAATACCGTAGTGGTTGAGGTCATCGCCGTGCATACGCCAGGATCCTATAAGGTCGCTGGTTCTAATCCCAGTGGCCCTGCTTCCCATCCAGCTCCCTGCTTGTGGACTGGGAAAGCAGTTGAGGACGGCCCAAATTCTTGGGACCCTGCACCTGTGTGTGAGACCCTGAAGAGCTCCTGGCTCCTGTCCTCACTGCCTTCCCAGGCCACAAGCAGGGAGCTGGACGGGAAGTGGAGCTGCCAGGATTAGAACCAGCATTCATATGGGATCCCGGCACATTCAAGGCGAGGACTTTAGCCACTAGGCCACCGTGCCTGGCCCAGATTTATTTATTTTTATGGGAAAGTCAAATACACTGAGAAGAGGAGAGACAGAGAGGAAGATCTTCCATCTGCTGGTTCACTCCCAAAGTGGCCTCAACAGCCAGATCCAAAGCCAGGAGGTTCTTCTGGGTCTCCCATGTGGGTGCAGGATCCCAAGGCTTTGGACTGTCCTCGACTGCTTTCCCAGACCATAATCAGGGAGCTGGATGGGAAGTGGAGCAGCTTGGACACAAACCAGTACCCATATGGGATCCCGGTGTGTGTTAAGCAAGGATTTAGCCGCTAGGTTATTGTGCTGAGCCCCCCAACAGAGGCGTTTTTGAAGCGTTGTGGGTATCTTTTGCAGGATTAATGTATGAATTCCGTTTGTCCTGTGCTCTGAAGCAGCCACCTTCATAGTCCTGGTTTATGCTGTTTCGGAGCACACTGTGAGAGGGGAGTCAAGATGAATGGATCAGAACCCTATAAAAATAATGTTGCTTTCCTAGGCTGATCATAGGGCCAGTTAGTTTTCATGGGTACTGCTTTTCATGTTTATCAGGAAGCAAAAGCATTTAAAGACCTGTTGTCTAAATGATGAGATTAGGGTCTCTAAGAGACAAACATATAAACCCAAGAATTAAAGAAAAAGTTACTTGGTTGGGAAACGTATAGTGTACAGGTTTGGTTTGGGAATATAGATAATCTGCTGGGTAGGTTTTCTTTGCTGTGGTCTGAGAACCTCATGTAAGGGTCTGGGAAGGGCAATGGAGGGGACAGGAGTGGCATATCCTGGCCAAGCTTGGGAGAAAGGCATGCATACAGTAATGATCCTAGAGAAGGCTGGATGATTTCCCTGGCAGAGGAGTAACTGGGGAGAAAGGCGGTGTCTGGGAAGGATTGGAGATGGAAAATCTATAGGACTGCGATGGGATGGATCATGGTGAACGCCTCCGTTAGGAGCAGCTGCCGAGGAAGTGCGAGGGATCTGGGTCCTGGGTTGTGCCAGGGGCCTGGGAATGTTCCAGGGCTTAGGAGATCAGTTGGGCAAGCGGACAGAGGGAATATAGACTCATTCTGGGATCCTTGTATTGCCCGTCAGCGCTTTCTGCCTCCAAAGTTCCTACGTTTTCTGACAAGAACAGCCTGGGAGATGAGATGTTGGCAGCTGCGCCTCTCAAGGCCAAGTCCCAGGTGAGCCGTGCCCCATTGTAAACTGACTTGTACAAGAGCATCCCGTTCAGGGCCCTAAACCTGGATTTCAGCTCTCAGGACCCTGCTGCTTTCCTACAGAATAACAGACCTTGACCTTCTACTTTTCATTTGAGAAAAATAACAGTCATTTAATTGGAAAGGTAAAGAGATGAAGAGAACACCTCCATCCAGTGGTTCACTCTTCAGATTCCTGCAGCAGGTGGGGCTGGGCTGGGCCACACCCAGATCTCTCTCCAGGTAGAAGGAGCTTGAGGGCTTGAGCAGTCACCAGGGTGCGTGTGAGCAGGAAGCTGGATCAGAAGCAGACACGGGACCTGAAGCATTTCCACTGGGCTCTTAACTGCTGTGCCAAACACTGGCTCTGCTTTGGCCCTTGTCTCTCTTCCTGTGTTCTGACCTCTTTTATTCCCCCCACTACCCGAGGAGTCATTGTTCACTTGTGTCCTGAGTGGTTTTTGGTGGTAGCCATCCCTCTGGTGAGCCTGAAGCTGCAGCTTCCGTCTTGTTTCAGGAGCTGGTGACATTTGAGGATGTGGCTGTGTACTTCATCTGGAAGGAGTGGAAGCGTTTGGAACCTGCGCAGAGAAACCTCTACAGGGATGTGATGCTGGAGAATTACGGGAACGTGTTCTCACTGGGTAAGCGCCAGGCCTGCACCTTGTCAACACACCTCCCTGCTGCTTCTTTGCCTCCTTGTTGGTTGGTAACATTCTATTCACAGAGAACAATTAGCAAAGGGCTGACTTAGTCTCAGAAAATTCTGTGGCTGAACACAGTAGCTTAATTAGCTAATCTTCTCCTCTCAAGTGTCAGGATCTCATCAGACCAAAGCTGAGAGCCAGAAACTCCACCTGGTGTCCGTATGGGTGCCTAAGCCCATGGACTTGGGCCATCCTCTGCTGCTTTCCCAAGTGCCTTAAGAGAGAGCTGGATTGAAGCAGCTGGGACTTGAATCAGTATCCATATGGGATGCTGGCATTGAGGGCAATGGCTTAATCCATTACACCACAGCACTGGCCCTGCAGAAATGAGCTTTTTAACCTGGACTTTTAGTTCCTCATCTCTCACCCCACTTTCAGGGTGAACGTTTCCCGAGCTGCAGAGAGTCTTCTTCCTCCTGTGAGCCTTTCTCTGCTTCCCCCAGCTCTGAGTCTAAGCCCTATTTGACCAGGGTTGCCCATGCCCTATGTCCTTCCCTGTGAGCAAATTCCCATTCCTGTATTCTGAGAACTCACAGTCCTGGCTGGAAGGGGCAGAACTTCTAAGGGTCCTGAGTTTGCAAAGAACTAAGGACAGGTCCCTAGAAATACCTACTCAGGTGAGCAAAAAACAGCTATCTCATTACTTAGCTTTACTTCTTAAAATAACTATATCTATAACTATAATTATATATATAATTAGTTTCTTTGCTTGAAGTTCCCTTTAGAAACACCAGAGTAGTGAAAATGGAGAGCACTCGGACACTTAGTGTTCCATAGAAGTATTGCCTTCCAGGTTTAGGGCCCAAAGGTGGACTAAACTGTCAGGCCTGTTTGCACAGGTGGGGGTGACCACAGGGCTGGTGTGCTCGCCTGGCTCTAGGCGTCCCTGGATTCCTTTTGTCTGCTCCTTCGTGCTGTGCAGCTGCTTTTCTTTACTCGGCCTCATCTTGGTCCGCAGCCGTCCGTGTCTGGTTTCCTAGGTTTACTCTGCTCTGTCATTCCTCACGTCCTGTAGTCACCATCACCCAGTTATGTCTGCTGGCTCTGGCCTTCCAGAAGACTCTGCCACTGCCTTATGTACACGGCCTTCCTCCTGTGATTTGGGTTTCCTGCATGTCTGCCTGAGCCATCCTCCCCTCTTAAATCCTCAGCTTTCTTCATACTCTCAGCTCTTTTCTCCATGATCTTGATTTTCTGTCTTGCTCCCTCCCTGTTTCCTTGGCCCAGTTTCCTATGTTGCCACAGTTACACATATGGGCAGGTCCCTTTGTAGGCATATAGAAGTGTGTGCTTTTAGCAGTATAAATATGTCATGTGACTATTCTGCTGTCTGAAAGACATTTGCCTTTCTTATTGTGGCAGATGGTGAGACCAGAACTGAGAACAAGCAAGACATTTCTCAGGAGAGAGGATCCCATGGGGTGCTATTGGGAAGATTCCAAAAGGACATTTCTCAGGGCCTTAAGTTTGAAGAAGCCTACAAACAAGAAGTCAGTCTAAAGAAGCAGCTTGGGCACTCCTCGGGCAAACGATTAAATAGGAAGATGCCAGTGACGGTTGGCGAGAAGTTCATGCCCACAGAACAGAGAAGTGAGAAGTACAACGAATTTGATAGCAGCTTCACTGTGAGTCCCAACCTGATTTCACATCAGAGACTTCCTATGGGAGACAGACCTCATAAGTGTGATGAATGTAGCAAGAGCTTTAATCGAACTTCAGACCTTATTCAGCACCAGAGGATCCACACTGGGGAGAAGCCCTATGAATGTAGTGAGTGTGGGAAGGCCTTCAGCCAGAGCTCACACCTGATTCAGCACCAGAGGATCCACACAGGCGAGAAGCCCTACGAGTGTAACGACTGTGGGAAGACCTTCAGCTGCAGCTCTGCTCTCATTCTGCATCGGAGGATCCACACTGGAGAGAAGCCTTACGAATGTAACGAGTGTGGGAAAACCTTTAGCTGGAGCTCCACCCTCACTCACCACCAGAGAATCCACACTGGCGAGAAACCCTATGCTTGCAATGAATGTGGAAAGGCCTTCAGTAGGAGCTCCACCCTTATCCACCACCAGAGAATCCACACTGGAGAAAAGCCCTATGAATGTAATGAGTGTGGGAAGGCCTTCAGCCAGAGTTCTCACCTCTATCAGCACCAGAGAATCCACACTGGAGAGAAGCCCTACGAATGTATGGAGTGTGGAGGGAAGTTTACTTACAGTTCAGGCCTTATTCAGCATCAAAGAATTCACACCGGGGAGAATCCCTATGAATGTAGCGAGTGTGGGAAAGCCTTCAGGTATAGCTCAGCTCTTGTCCGCCACCAGAGAATTCACACTGGAGAGAAGCCTTTGAATGTAACGGGTATGAGCAAAAGCTCTCTCAGAGTTCCTGCTGAAGTAAATATCAGAGAGTCCACATGAACGGGAACCACAGCTCTGTCTTCCTCTCTTCCTGCCTTACTAACCTAAGTACTCACAGCTTAGGATGTGTCCCTCCAACTTCAACCTTCCACTGTAGAGAGTGGGGCACACTGGGTAAATCACCCTGGTATGGGGATCAGTGACCTAGTAGTAGCCTGGAAAAATTAGGAGGCAAGCAGCAGATGAGGTGCTGGGAACAGAAGGAAACGCTGCGGCCAGTTGCCCCATTTCAAAGGAGTTTGCACTAAAGCATTTTTGTCACACCAGAGGAGCCTTTCTTTCTGACACGGGGTTGGAAGCAGAGTGGGAGCAGAATTCCACGGATTCCACCAGGCGGGGCTGTCACAGCACACAGGGCAGTGGAAAGATGTTCTGGGTCCTGCTGTCTCCTAGCAGCGGGAGATGCAGACCGTATTTCAAGACCCCTGTTTTTCAAACCACAGTCAAGTTGTGGAAATGTACTGTTTGTTTTAATTAATTATGGTCATCTGGGGCTGAGGGGTTTGTTATTTTACTGAGTTATTTATTTTTTTAATGTCTAATTGGTAGGGCTCTTGGATCAGCAAGACCATGTTTTAGAGAAACCTGGCAATATTATACACAGATCCTTTGTCTTTCCTGCTGTGATGGGACTGACTGGGGAAAGTGTTCAGTGACAAGGCCTCTGGCATCTGTCCTCCCCCTTGCTCCTCCTATGAAGAAAAGTGATTTAATCCCAACCTTAGTTAGCAAGGGTGCTTTCAGGAAGCTCAGCCAGCCTGCCGGGCCCTCTGACACATCTGATCTCTGCCCCCAGCAGCCCATGGCTTGTGGCTCCACCACCTCGGACTTCCACAGCCAAGGGTCAACACAAACAAAGTAAAACCCAGAGAAGGCAAGTCGTTGCCCATGACTGGGTAGTGGGTTCTCTGCTGGGTGTGGGTGGGACTCCCCGAGTTTTCCCAGCCCAGGGATCCGCCCCCATTGTGTTTTCCCAACCCTGCTCATCCTGTAGCATCAACAAAGTGCACTATTAAACCAAATAGTTTTTCAGAAGGAGAGATTGAGTGTGTTTTTCTGCAGGCACCAGATCAGGTAAAAAGGACACAATGACTAAAAATGGAATCCGAAAATTAACCATTACATTTTCTGTGCAGACAACCATTTCCCTTTTCCCTTCAGTCCCCGTCACCCTGCTTTACATACCAACAGAGACTCTAGAAATCGCAGCTCTTGCTGAGCATCCGAATTGCTGGGAAGGGTTCTGCCTCCAGGTTACTTCCGTGGTTGGCTTCTGTTCTCCCTTTCTCAAGCCACACTGCTGATCACCTGTAACAGAGATTTCCAAGGACATTTCCAAGTAAAGCAAAGGACTTTCATTCTTAATGTCTCCACCCATCCCAAATCATGCCCACACCCCACACTTTGATAAAGAATTCTGAGAAAGGCTATGTAATGTTTCTTTTAAAAGAAAAAAAAAAGATTTATTTTTATTGAGAAGTCAGATACACAGAGAGGAAGAGAGACAGAGGAAGATCCTCCATCCGAAGGTTCACTCCTCAAGCGGCTGCAACAGCTAGAGCTGAGCCAACCCAAAGCCAGGGGCCAGGAACCTCCTCCAGATCCCCCATGCAGGTGCAGGGTCCCAAGGCCTTGGGCCATTCTTTACCGCTCTCCCAGGCCACAAGCAAGAAGCTGGATGGGAAGTAGAGCCACTCGGACTAGAACCAGCAACCATATGGGATCCCAGCGTGTGCAAGGCAAGTACCCCCAACCACTACGCTATTGTGCTGGGCCCCTATGTGATGTTTCTAAGAGAAAAGCCTATTTCTCCCTGGACACTTCAGGTAGCAAAAGTATGAAAGGTGGAGTGAAACAGTTAGTGAAAAGATTTGTTATTTTATAATCTTGGAGGGAGTTACCGTTCACTGGTTCAGTCCTCAAATGCACATTATGATTGCAGTCAGAACCAGGGGCTGGGAACTGAATTGGGGTCCCCCACATGGGACAGGAACCCAATTTAAGTGATCCCTGCTGCCTCGCAAGGTCTGCATTAGTAGGAAGTTGGAAACGGCAGCTGAAGCTCCTGTGATGTGGGATGCCGCTGTCCCAACTGCTATCAACTGGCAGGCCAAGTACCTGCCCTGTAGAGATTTTTTAAAAAGATCCCCCAAGGAGAAATTACTTTATTCATAAGTTATTTATTGTGTTTGGATTTTTTTCTTTCAACCTCATAAAAGTCCAATTAGATGCATTAAATAATAATAAGGTGGAAGGCTTTGAGACAAGCCAAGAATTACATAAATAACTTTTTACATACAAAGATATAATATGATTTCTGGAATTTTTTCCAGGAATGACAAGGGCTTCTCTTCCTCTGCAAGCTTCTCTTTTCTTGTGCATGGTCTGCTGCAGCTGCTAACATCACCAGCTTCCCAGTCAGCCCCACAGAAAGGTGGCACTGCTTCTGGACATGCCCCCACTGCCTGTTCACTCCCCATATAGCCCCGTGGCTGGAGCTGAGCCATCTGAAGCCAGGAGCTTCCTCCCACATGGGTGCAGGGTCTCAAGGCTTTGGACCATCCCCCATGGCTCTCCAGGCTGTAAGTACAGAGCTGGATTGGAAATGGAGCAGACAGGATACACACTGGTGCCCATATGGTATGTCAGTGTTTGCAGGCATGGGATTAGCCAATTGTGCCAGTCCCAAATAAGTCAGATACACAAAGAGGAGGAGAGACAGGAAGATCCGGCCTCTGGTTCACTCCCCAAGTGGCCACAACAGCCAGAGCTGAGCTGATCTGAAGCCAGGAGCCCGGAGTGTTTTCTGGGTCTCCCATGTGGGTGCAGGGTCCCAAGGCTTTGAGCCATCCTCCACTGCTTTCCCTGGCCACAAACAGGGAGCTGAGTAGGAAGTGGGAGCTGCTGGGACACGAACCAGCGTCCATATGGGATCCTGGCATGTGCAAGCCAAGGACTTTAGCCGCTAGGCTACCGCGCTGGGCCCCAGGCCCAATTTTTTTCAAGTAACAGTTCTACACTAAATTTAAAAACACCACTCTTAAATTGGATTATCTGAATAATGATAGGGATTTAAATGGTTGCATGAAAGCCAGAAAGCAGTTTATATCCACGGGGAACACTTATCTAGGCAGTTCTCAGAAGACAGAATTCCCTCTCAGTTTGATCAGGCTTTGGGGCCCGGACTCTGCATTCTGAATCTTGTGGAACTCTGGGTGAAGCGGTTCCGTCGCTCATGATTAATTCCTTAAAGAGTAGGGCGCACAGGTCAGGCCGGCCCTTTGTGGAATTTCAGGTCCCCCGTGGCTCAAGCTCAGCTTCAACCTGAGTCATCACCCCTAAACCCTTGCAAGTCCAAACAGAATGAAGCCACGGCCGCCTCTGTGCGCACCCCACAAAATAAACTCTCAGCACCATGGTTCAGGGACCGGATGCTGCATGGCGAAGAGGTAGGGCAAGCGACACAGGTGTGGGGCTTGTTCTACATTTCCCTCTCCCAGTGCGGGAGGAAGGCCAGGGCAGCGGCTGGCCCTATCCCCGTTTCACCCAGTTATGGGTCACAGCCAGGTCCTCGCTCCAGAGCCCCACTTGGCGGCCTCCCCCGATCTAGCTCTGACACCTCCAAGACGCAACCCAAACTTCCAGCCCCAGACAGGCTTCAGCGCCTGCGCCGCCCCACTTCCGGCAAGGCCTGCGCTGGAGAGCCTCCCCTCCCCCGGGTTGTCGCCGCTCGCCTCCCCTCTAGGACGTTGGAGGGTTAGTCAACTCTATGGTCCTTTTGCAGGGACCCGAGCTCGCAGGCCGCGGGCAGGGGAAGGGGCCACGGCGGGACGGAGGGTCGCAGGCTCCTTGCGCCAGCTGCGCCCTCAGCTCTGGCGTTAGCGTCGGGGACTCTCGAGCCGTGTGAAAATTCTCTGAGATCCTGAATTTGGTGCAGGCTGGAGGAGAGAAGGAGATAACTGTATTTTACACCAACAAAGAAAACAAAACAGCTTCACCTTGTTGTGAGCAGACCATTAGCCATCAAGATGACGTCCGGTTCTGCCAATCACGAGACTCTCAAGCTGGACAGTCCTCCTATCCCAAGACATTGTCTTGGTGCCATCCCGCCCCCCTCTTATCTACAGCCAATGTAATGCTTTCTTTACAATTTTTCCATTTTGGAATACTCTGGTTTCCTAGATCCGGCCGACATTTCTTACAATGGCTGTCCGGCTCTGTTGCTGGTGTCTTAAGGAATTTATCCCCAAAATGACCCTTTATTATTGCTGACATCTGTAACTTCAATAAAACTCTTATTCCAGTAATCTCGTAGGCTCCACAATTTTTATTTATTATCAGTCTAAAACAGTAGCAGTGTGGGAGGAATCAGCTTTAAAAAAAATGTTTATTTTCATATTTGAAGGGTAGAACAGCACATGTGTACTTACACACGCACACACACAGCAGCCAGCCCAATTCCAGGAGACTGGAATTGGTTTTTCACATAACAGTGACCTAGCACCGACCTGGCCATCATCTGCTGTCCTCCTAGGACACACAGCAGCAGGAAGCCAGTGAGAAATGAAGAAGGGGGGACCCCAAACCACCCTGTGTCCCAAGCGCCGACTTAATCCAGACATCCTGACTTGCTGAATGTCTGCTCCAAGAACCATAGATTTTACATGCTGTCTCAAGGATGTAATATACTGATATTTATCTTACTATGGATAGAAAGTCTTACTTTGGATGAACAACACTTGACATTTAGGCCCAGTAAGTGCTACCTAATTACTTACTGAGTTCTAAAGATGAGAGAAATTTTAAATAAGCAAAAACAGAAGACATGTGAGTTTCTCTGCAGTTAGGAGCAGCCGACAGGCTTCTCTGTGAAGCAGTCCATGGGCTCAGGAAGGCTCAGACACCTCCAAGTTCTCTGGTCCTCTGACAGCCACACACACACACAGCCGGTTCCTTGCACCCTGCCCAGGGTTCCAGGGCTGTGGTGCTCATTAGCATTTGTGTTCTGTATTTTCCTGCACTTTCTGAAGGAGCTCCTTGTCCC